TTTTTATTCTTCGAGCTTCGTTTATTTGCTCAGGAGTAGGAGACGCTTGAATAGAAGGAACTGCGGATTTCTTTAATACTAGCTTAGAGCTAAATCCAGCTACTTTTGCACCGAATCCTTCGTAGTCGTCAGCTGAGAAATGGTCGCTGCAAATGTGACCCGAACCTGGTGTCCAACTATTTGGTTCTCTTTTTGTTCGCACAAATGCAATCCATTGTCGCCGCACACTTTCATCAGCTGCAAACTGATGAAGGCTGACTCCGTCTGCATTTGTTTTGTTACAAAACATCACTACACGGTCGCTTTGTTTGCTAAGCTGTGTTAACCCTTAACATACCAACTACGCATACATGCATAGAAATATAAGTCGTCCTTTTAACGAGCAAAATGAATTCTAAGAAGAAAAGCAACTTTCTCGTAGATGTTCGCCACAAAGAAATGCATGCACGACCTTAAATGAGTTCATCCGAAACGTTTGTCCTTGAGAGCTATCCCGGAAAGTCACGGCTGCAAACCTATAATAGAGGATGCAAGAAATTTTACTGCTTCAGATCCAAGTAAGGTAAAGAAAGTAAAGAGAGAGAAAAAAGAACTGTAAATTTGTCTCACCTCTAATATATAGTGGCGTAGACAGATGGTAGAAGCACCCCGACCGGTATCTGGGAAGCATTGATTGAAGACATGACAAAGATGTAATTCTCCATATTAGACTTCTGTTTCACCGCAGTTAGTTTAGATAAAGTTTTCCCCCGAAGATAAATTCGTACCTTACACTCATATCAGTCAAATTTGTGATATTTCATTTTCATTCAACCGCTTTTGAAGATCCTTGACTCGAACGATCGACCCGCTTAAGTTGCGGACATATTTTGTTTGCATCTCAGGAGATGTTTTTTCCACTTGATCTTTTGACTAAATTTTAGACAATACCTCTTTGTTGGAACTAATTCGAAAATGTATCTCGTAAATAACAATTTATATCGTTCGTTTTTGTGGTGGGATTTTAAGTGAATTGAATAACTGGCACGCAGCTTCGAAGCACTGTCTTTCTGATTGAAAAAATAGTAATTTTATTGCCTTCTTTAAGGAGCTCGTGCAGTGAGGCGTAAAAATTAAAAAATTTTAACTGTTAGTCCGCGTAAGCAAAGTTAACTGTAAAAATTTATTCATCTGCATGATCACAATATGGAAAGAAATTAACCGTTAGCCGTAAAATGACCACCCGATTGAGACCTTCTTTTCACTGCTTAATTGCAAAATCCATTGGATTTTTTATTTAAAAATATAATCCTGAAAATTAAAAATAGTATCAGGTATGCTTTTAAAAAATCACAGATCTTTCAAAGCAGCTTTGAGTCAGAGACACCGTGAGTTTCTAGCGGTATGCGATTAAATCATAGAATTTTAATTTACTCGTTATGTTTTTGCCGAAACGGAGAATTTCTTTTTCTTCCGACGACGAGGGAAGAGGAAAAGATTGGAACAAGTCAAACTGGAAAAGTTTGAGAAGAAACAAATTAACAAACTGGAGAAAAACAATTTTAATTAGCTTTAAAAATGTCTTATTTCCACAAAGTGTGTTTTGTCAGCTGGTTTCCTCTGAACAATACGTGTAATATTTATTGTAAAAATTAACAGCCTAAGTTATGTTTTAGAGTGTGATAATTGTCGTGATAAATATAATTACGCTGGATTCGAGTAGCAATTTTTGGTTGAGGGGTTCCTTAATGCAGAAGTGGAACTTTAATTTTAAAAATGGAATAATTATTATAGGGTAATGTTTAAAACAAGATGAGGAGGGGTAGGTGGAAAAATTCATGTCATCATCATCATGATGTAAAAATCAACTTCATGTTGATCTTGCCTCAAAGTTGCAATTTTGTCATCTACCCGACAATATTTTCTTTTAGGACAGATATTTTTTTTCCCAAGTTTTTGTTTTACTGTTAATTTTTCTCTTCGTATCTTTGTTTATATTCCAACTCTAGAAACAGCTGTCAGTGAGGATGATGGCTCACTTAAAATAGTGCCATAAGTGTTTATAATAGGGGGCTCTCAATGGGGTGATGGATTTTACGGCCATAGGTTAAAATTTTGTCCATTTTACAGCTCACGGTTAACCCCACTGAGACCCTCTGACAGGCGTTTTGTGTTGCTCCTAACATTAAGTCAAATAGGTCGAGGGTGAAAGCATAACGTGACATCTATATTTAGAAGAAAAACTGTGAGAGTTGCCACATGAGATTTTTTTCGTTGTTAATGGCACGGTTCATACATAGAGTGAAACTTTTTCTTTACAGCGTGACGTGTCTTTCAGGTGTGTGGGATTTAAGGGTTATCAAGGACCCCTCATACAAAATTTTATACATCGTACCATCAATGAACACTTGTTCAATTGTTTTTCTTCGTAACTCATCAAGCATCACATCAAAGTAAAAATCAATTTTTTGTGCGGCCCTCAAATGAATGTTGACATAGGACGTCTGTTGTTTACATTGATAGCGGATAATAAAGGGAACAGCAAAAGTCGGGTAATCATTGTAGCTGACTTATAGGTCTGATTTGCTGCACTAACTTGACAAATCTGTGCGGCCGTGAAAAGTCCAAGCCAAACTGAAGCAAGATGAAGAACTGTTTTTCGCTTGTTTTGTTGGGTAAGAGAGCAATTACTTGTTTGCTGTATTCAATTGTGTCAAGAGGAAATTACCCCTTTCAAAACAGGGCTCTTATTGAGGACAGGGCGCTTCTTCCTTTTTTTGAGGGACAGAATTAAGTGCAAAATAGAGCGTTGATATTTATTTGAAAAGGATCAAGAGGATTGGAAAATGGACTTGCTGTCCCTGGATCCTTCCTGGCTAGAACGACCAGCCAAGCAATCGTCGCAAAATTTTAAGACGAGATCATTCGTTTGAAAGAACTGCGGCTTTGACAACGAAGTGATAGTTGAGAGACTTGTTTTTGTAATGAGACTTTAAGTGAGCAACTAAAGCGAGATAAACCAAGGTTGATCTCAGTGTACATGTACTGTAACAGTGCTATCACAAGATTACTAAAACAGAATAGGCGCGCTTATTAACGAAACGAAATTAGAGAGGAGTGTTTATTAGAGATGGGGCGCTTATTGCTAGGAGAGCACCAAATCAAATCACTACGGGACTGTTAGATGCGGATAGGATGCGGTAAATTACCGTCTATTGGGAAATAATATATTGTGGAAGAAACGCAGCCATATATTGTGAGAAGAACTCAAGAATAAGGAGCTCTTGTCGACTTAGTCTATTCAGAATGCTTTGACCGAACCTTCTAAGTTTTCCTTTCGCTAACAACTCAATATAATAAAGAGAAATGTTTTATTTGTTGGTCATGCTGTTCACAATAGAGAAAAAAATCCTCACAGAAACGCTGAAGCTCACCCGATGCATGAGCTCATAGGTCAATTTTCTGTGTTACCAGAATGACTCGGCATCAATTTTGATGGGTGCTAGCAGTTCGTAATAATAATCAATGTTTTCCTTTAGCCCCAAGCCGCTAATCTCCATAAGTGTTTTAATTTTGTTTTACTGCATCAAGAAACAGAAACATCTGTACGTCTATTTTGTTATAGCCATCGTATGCAGTGTTGCAGTAGCTTTGCCAAAGAAATTAGAGGAAAGTGAACTGAACGTGTATTTCCTTGAAGACGCTTCTGGTATCACGGCGGATGAGAGCTCCAGTTTTCAAGATGCAAGTGTCGGTGCCGACGAGGGCTTCAGTCTTGAGAGTGACGCATCTGGTCTAGCAGCTGATGCTCGTCCGGCTGAGGCTTCAGACATGTAAGACGGAGGATCAAGTCTTGAGGCAGATGAGGATCGCTGGAGGCCATGGAAGAGGACGATCTACGGCTTACAGATTCTTGGTCTTCATTGGCAAATTGGGTGTAGGACAATGATTCAAGACTGTAGAGTTACCTATTCCGGTACTTATGGTTTAGATCCATCAATGAATTTAGTCAGACATACCAAATATAAACGTGCTAAACATACAGCAATAAATAAACAATTAGTTTATGTAACGCCAGTGTGGTGTTGTGTTAGAGCCAAATGCTGATAGAAACAACAGTGAACAGCAACAAGGTTTGGAGAAATTTTGATTTCCCGGGGAAAACCCAAGAAAGCAAGACATGAAACCAGTACAAGCTCAATAACTGAGAAAGCTCCATGGAATGCAATAAAAAATAATTAAATTGATAAATATACCATTGAATAAACCTTCAGGATGCAGACTTGAAGAACTACCAATTGCAATGGAAGACAGAGAAAGGTGGAAGGAGCGTGTCATGGAATATCGAGCAAGCTCGATCTTATGATAATGATGATGATGATAAACCTTCAAGGAAGGGAATAAGTGAAAAAAGACTTCAGGGGAAGAATGAATGAATAGTGAAATAAATAAGGGCGGAGGACTGGCGAAAAAGAAAAGCAGGGCTGCCAACTGTTCTTTTCCGCTCCAAGAATATGTAAGGTACAAACTATTGATTGTTCGAAACCTTTTGAGGAATCCTCTCACCATTTTTGGGCGCAAACCGTCGCCACATGGGGATATGGACTTGTAAGAATTTTAAGATAATTTTAATCCATACTTTCTAGTAGTCTTCTTTCTTACTGTTTTTTTTATTGATGGTTGCCTTGTTATAATGGCCTTTTTTGATTGCTATTGGTGGCAATAAAAACTCAGAAGGACTCCCTATATAAAATATCACTTGACATGTAATTTTAATCACTTTCAATCTGAAATTAAGAGATCCTCGCAGCTAAGAACACTACTGAAACGAGTAGTTTTAAATAGGACCTGAAAAAAATTCAGGCCCGTACGGGATTGAACCCATGACCTCTGCGATACCGGTGCAGCGCTCAACCAATTGAGCTAACAAGCCAATTGGGAGCTGGTAAATGAATTGGGTCCAAATAACATTCAGTAGTGTTCTTAGCTGCGAGGATCTCTTAAGTTCATCTTTCCACCGCAGTGCAAATATATGAATGCACTTTCAATCTCTTTGGTTTTGCAATAAGTTCTCAAAAGATTCAACTAATTTAAGTTTGTGTATACTTCATGCAGTTTTTTGTTAAACACCGTGCAATAAATCAAACGCTGCAAGCTTATCTCTAAGTGATACCTGCCAAAGAAAAGTTTTGAAATACTTAAATGAACAATGAAAAACTAACTGCTAATACAAGGGTCGCTCCCAGGACTTTTCCCGTTGTAACGCTGTTAGCCTCAGAGGGGAGCGTTGAAGGCTGGGAAGCCTTGGCAGAGTCGTAGTCGAAGTTGCATTTGTCTTCTTGACAACTGGCCATCTTAGAGCAGACTGTTTTTTCCCCAAACAGCTTACAAGGATCTTTGTTGCAGTCCTCGTACAAGCAGCAACCTGTCATCAAAAGGAAAATCAAATCCTTATTATTATCACGAGCCTTAGTAGTTCATACGACTTTAAAAGAAGTTGAGAAATGCTAATTGGGTAAACGAAATAAATGTGTCTTATTCAAACTCTTTTATTTTATTTCACCTCATATCATCGCATCGAATGTGATGGAACCTCCTCGTGATGTGATACTCTCTAATCGCATGGCATAGAATAGAATGTTATGTCATCTCCTCATGTAATGTCAGGTCGGTCCTGTCGTGTTGTATCACCCCACATCTGTAACATTTGATCTTATTTTTGTCACGTCACGCGATGCAATTTTACGTAAGGGATGTCATATCGGTCACGCGAGGTCATTTCATTTTTAATCACCGCATTTGTTGTGTCATTTTTTTCCAAGTTATTTTCATTCATGTCATCCCATGCCTGTCATATCTGTCACGCGAAATCATGACGTGTTATCATACGTTTATCGTGTGATTTTATATGGTGTTTGTTCTAAATGTCTCGACGCACTTATTCCATCATTTCTTGTTTTATTTTTCATTTCATCACATCGCACATCCCAGCTCTCATTATGTCATGTTAATTGCATCAAATCACTTCCCGAAACTGCATTCACATATCACCTCATCGCCTCTCGTTTTAGACATCTTTTCTTTCCTCAACAAAGCGCCTCAATGGGGTTAACCGTTAGCTGTAAAACGGCTAAAGAATTTAGCCATTAGGCGTAAAAACTGACAAATGTTAACCGTTAGTCGCTAAAGAAGTTCACGGTAAAAAAAGTTTCTGGTGAAAACAATGGAAAGATATTAACCGCAAGCCGTAAATTGGCCAAAATTTTGACCGTTAGCCGAAAAAGCCATCACCCAATTGAAACCCTCTTAGCACGTCTCTCACTTTGAAGTTTCTTACTTTTAAACTCCTTGATCGTGTTGTATGAAGTAAAATTGACTGTGTACACTTGACAGGCGAACACAGAACCAGGCATGGATGAATCATCACATTTTACTGTCGCTTTACCAGACCCCTCACAACTTGGTGCAGCTCCACCACAACGATAGCACGTGATCGACCATCCTAAAGACAAAACATTTAAGAATGAAAATGGCTTTTAACCTAGTACTAATTATGATTATAGCAGGCCTTCATTACCAGTGCTGCAGGACACGCGTTTCTCCGCCCTCGGGGAGTTTTGAGACGAGTACGATAGAAGTTTGCCGGGGGTCTGGCACTATCAATCAGCGGTAGATCCCTTGCAGATTTCTCGCCGGCTCACGATTTTTTTAACCCTTTAACTCCCAGAAGTGATTCACATGTAACTTCTCCTTAAAATATCCATACATTAGCGAGCAAGCAGGTAATAAGAATACTCAAACTTAGACAGGTAGAAGTTGTTATCTTTATCTATTAATAAATTCTCGTAACTAATTCTCAAGGGAATGGGTTGAAGCTAGAAGGGAGAATTAACAATCGGATCTTGGGAGTTAAAGGGTTAAGGCCTCTGACGTTCCCGCGGGGGAAGAACAGGCGCTCGTACTGTGGCACTTATGATAAGGACGTGATTATGATCACGATCTCGACACGTGATCTATTCCACTGACGAGTTCCCCATCGCTTAGTGGTAGGGTGTGGTTTCGAATTTTGAAACCTCTTGAGGAGGGGGGGGGAGTGATTGTAGCCTCCTTTCTTATCAATTTATCACCTTTTATACCTGTATTCCACCGGATTGATTTAAACACACAACTTTGTATTCATTTTTCTCCTTTGGGATAAATAAATTTAAGAGGAAAATGAATTCTGAGAAGAAAAGCAACTTTCTCGTAGATGTTCGCCACAAAGAAATGCACGCACGACCTGAAATGAGTCCATCGGAAACGCTTGTCCTTGAGAGCTATCCCGGAAAGTCACATTCTTGCTTAGTGTTAAATTACGTGGCGCAAAAAAGAATGGCATCTCCTCAAGAAACTAGAATAGCTAATGAACCTCTCTTGGCTAACTAATATTTCATACATGAAGTCATGTTTAATTAGCTGGAGTTTTTAATTAAGGCTCACAGGACAAAAAACTTGAAAGCAAAAACTGCCATAATGTGTTCGGTACCTTCATAATGAGAGGAAAGTTTTAAATCTTAATTCTTACATTTTCTTAAACTTTCTTATCACTGAAAAATTACTTAACGTATAAGGCGGCTTTTAAAACTAAGTAATTTTTGCAAACAAACGCCTTTTTCGGAGAAAAATAAATAGATGTTATTTTGAAGTCGATCCCTGGCAAAATAGCGATATAAGCCAAGAATTGGTACAACTGACCTTCATGCATAGACACTGCAATCTACCTTATCTTAACGGCTTTTACTGCATGTGATATTCTTATAATCATTGTACTACTTGCGAACGTAGGAAACGCTAAAGAGCGCGAAACCCAAGACGTCACCAGCGCTAAATGATAAGGTCTGTCACTGATCAGTTTTCGACCGATACAGGCACCCAAAAGCTTAAGATGGCGGCATCGTGTTCTACGCACGCCATAACAATTGTCTAAAACGTTCCGATTATTTTCATCAACACCTAGGAAGAAGAGATACGTACCAAGCACAAAGACTGAAGCTACAACCCATGCTATTAATAGCAGTTTCATTTTGATCTGAGATCGTTTTCCGGTGCGTCTCGAAAAAACTTAATGTTTTTTTGGCTTTAATTCAAGCAACGTATCTTAGATCCGTTTCTTTTGGGAAGCACTTATTGTGTAAGCAATATTTGTTAAGTTTTAGGTCGCTTTGTTTGCTAAGCTGTGTTAACCCTTAACATGCCAACTACGCATAGATACGTAGAAATATAAGTCGTCATTTTAACGAGCAAAATGAACTCTAAGCTCGTAGATGTTCGCCACAAAGAAATGCATGCACGACCTTAAATGAGTCCATCCGAAACGTTTATCCTTGGGAGCTATTCCGGAAAGTCACGTTTTTGCTTCGTCTTAAAGTACGTAGCGCAAAAAAAAAAATCAAAAAACAGACAGTGGCATCTGAGATACGTACCTTGCAAAAAGACTGAAGCTACAACACATGCTGTTAATAGCAGTTTCATTTTCTTTTTCCGGCGCGTCTTGAAAAACTTAATAAGGCTTTGGTTTGGCTTTTCTCCAAGCAAAGTGTTTGGATCCGTTTCTATCCTATTTGGGAATTACAAATTATGTAAACACGGTCCTCTCGTCACGTGATCCAACAGGTCTTTGTTGTTTTCGTGTCTGGTAGCTCATTAGCAGTGGAGATATTGAAATTCGCTGTTCGGCATTACAATGAATATATTTGCATGTTACACAGTTGCCCAACCTTCCAGTTATGGCTTTCTAACAATAAAGCTTGCATACACTTCCGTCTGGTGACGAAAAGAGGGTTTTTCTCAGTCCCTTTCTGAGACAAATACCTGGTTTAAACGGTTTCGAGAAAGGGCAAAATCTTTACTTTCAGGGGTAGGTATATTCTTCCCTTACTAAAGTATGTTTTTAATCTCGTGACCCCCGCCTAGGATTGTGTTTTCGAGGTGAAATCGTTAGTGAATGTGAATTTGGCGCGTTGAAGTGAGGGGGAAATCCAACCTGGGTAATTTTCTATTCTCTTTATATCCTACCTATATCACGAACAAAAAAGCTTTATCATTATATATAGACTCCATTTGTTTATAAAATGTAAATGCAATTATTATTTATTATTATTATTATTATTATTATTATTATTATTATTTTCAATCGTGGAAACCGTAAATTTGTTCATTTTAATCCCCGATTTTATCAAACGCTCGAAGCCTCTTGCTGGCAGCCATATTGGATTCTTTACAGATCGCCGATAATTGTGTCATTACGGTCGTTTAAAGACCATTCGAGGAAGAATATTCGTATAGCCAGCAATTTTTCAGGGGATAAATGGGACGACAGGTAAGCGAAGCAATTCTGAACGTCAAATTCGCGTTTGTGTGGCCATGTTGAATAACTTAAATTTCTTGCTCACTTTGCAGTCGAAGACCTCTGTACAGAAAAAGCAGAAAATGCAGTAAGCCGAATTCTCTACCAAGGACGCTGTGATTCAAGTAGAACTTTTCACGCATTAATCTTCACATATAGCTTTGAAAAGAAAAGGAGAGTTATAAGAGCAAAACAAATTGTTATCACTGGACATTGAAGCCAAAAAGGCTTGGCTGGATGAATATGGTAATATTATAACTTTGAGTGTTTTCGAAACGAGCTAACAATTTCATTTTTACCACCATGCTACTCTGAAGTTCGAACGGAAATAAGTTATATTTACAATACAATACAATACAAAGACTTTATTTAAACACGATAATTGTTAAAGCGACTACACGCTTGTGGGGTCGTGCGTAAAATGGAATAAAATGAAATGTAGTAAAATACAATAATTAAAGTAGCCTATCAAAATTAGAAGATCTAAAAATATTTAAAATTGGGGTCCTTAAAATTCACTGTCTGTGGAGAAATGGAATTAAAGTTCAAATTTAAAAGTGCCTTTGATTTGTAGGCTAACGAGGAGAGCTGCTTAATGGTTATATTTCTTAAATTTGATTCTTGGAGAAGTGTATTAAAAACGATAGGTCCTCTTCTGGAAAAACTGTTTTTCATGTAATATGTATTGAATTTTGGTACTTTTATGTTGGCATTACTTCTTAGATTTTTCTTAGTATTCACGTCAACTTCTTCGGTGGTATCTAAGATGGATATAGGTAAAGTCTTCTTATCTATTTTGAACATCAGTTTAGCTAAATTAACTTTATATGTGGTTTCAATAGAAGACCATCGAGCTTTGCTTAGTACGTCAGACTTAGGCATATCCCATGGCCAGTTAAAAATTAATTTTGCCGCTCTACAGTGTAAAGACTCTAATGCAATTAGGCCCTCCTTATTAGTATATGGTATCACCAGACGGTGATACCATATATAATTGATGGGTAGATTACTTTAAAGTATAAGTCCAGTAGCATGGGTCTTGGTAAGAACAAGCTGCGCTTCAGCATGTTAAGCTTATTTGCAAAGCTGATCTTTAGTGCTTTGACATGGTAGTCCCAGTTAAGTCTATTATCAATATAGACTCCAAGCAGCCTGGTGTGTTTAACCCATCTTATACAATGATTCATCAGTATTAATGACTGTAGTGGACCAGTGAAGTTTCCTCGATGAATTAGCATGCCTTCGCATTTCTTGGGGTGAGGCAATAGTTGATTTCTTAAGCACCATAGCTCTAGTTCCTTGAGAGCAGCATTTAGTTCGGCAATAACAATGTCTACGGTATCTCCGATACAGAACAGGGTGGTATCGTCTGCGTACATAAAAACAGTTGCATTTGTTATATTATCAGGTAGATCATTTGTGTAAAGTGCGAACAAGGTTGGACCGAGGACTGATCCCTGACTGATCCCTTTAGAACATTCTGTTCCTTTAGTATTTACTTGTGATTGCAGATAATGTTGAGATCTAATTTCTCCATTTGTTTGTTTTTTTTTTAAAAGGGACAAATACAAACTTCTGTTGCTCAGAAAGATACAGTAGAAGAAGAACTACAAAGCCTTCAAATGAGTGTGGAAGAAAAGGAAGATCAAGTAAAGCAGCAAGAGGAAAAAGTTACACAACTAAATGAGCAGTATCACAAATTTAAATCTTTGCTTGAACGAAAAGGCTTTTCAGTAGCTAGGAGAAAAAATGCCAGTACATCTTATGATGTGATTACTAATGTCAGTTCCAGCACCAAGTTCAGACGAAGACAGGAGACGAAAAATGTTTTAGAATTCATTCACAGGGGAAAAGAAGGGTCAATATATGGGGCTTGGAATGATATTTCATCTGCTGCTGACAATCAAACCATGGACAAACTAATTTGTGGACATAAACGAGGGAAATATCTCCGGGATCTGTTTGACATGACAATGAAAGGGTATCAAAATTCAGACGAGGCTTTGAAACAAGCTGTCTTTATGTAGTACCAGAACTTTCTGTCTTGCAGAAAGTATGCCCTTGTCTGCAAAACTCAGTCCTCAATTTCTGATTCAAACTCTGATCTATGGGTTCCCCATAACAGAAAATGTTTAGGTTTAGAATTAAGGATGCCAAATATAGCAATATCTGACAAACAGGTGGAGAATTTTGAGATAAGTCTTGACATTGGTCATGTTCATCAAATCCCCAATGCACCGGGTGTCTCCAGAACAATACCTGAGTTGTTTTCATGATAATTTATCTGCACCTTATGTGTAAGCTTATTTGGTTTAATGACAAAAGAAATCATTTCATTTTGCAATTTTCTGACGGTGGGGCCCCTGAGTCAAGTCAGCTAATCATGTCAATAAAATGGCAGCCTAATGACATGGAATTTTGGAGACAGGGTGAGAAGCAGGGATTTCCAGTACATTTTACATTATGTCAGTCTGGGGGGGAAATATGAAGTACTGCAAAGCATCTGGAAGCAACACATTGATGAAATGGAAATGTTAGAGGGTAATATATTTATTGTTTCTAACAAGCAGTGTACTGTAGAGTTTCAGCCCAGTGCTGATATGTGCTGGCAAAGCTGGGCTAACAGTGAGATAAATCAAGCTGCCACTTACCTATCTCTTTATGCTAGTGTAAGTGAAGGAAATATGTGTACTATGGCTCCTATACTCTGGAGGTCAGAAGTTCCCATGTTAAGAATGTAAATGAGTTTATGATTTCCCTTCCATCTTCTCTGAGTGAAAAGATTGCCATTCCAGGAAACTACAATTCATAGCAGAGAATGGGATTCACCAGCTATGCCCCCCCCCCCCAAATTTGAATTTTTGCAAAGCAGCAGTGCCCTGAGCCCATCCACTGTGAAATTAATGCATGGTAACATGTGTTGAATATCATGTACAGGTAGCAGTACAAAGGGGTATTTTTACCAAATTTATTGATATATTGAGTTCCTCAGCTGTAGAGACATAAGGAGGATTTTGGTGAACTTGGTTGTGGGTTGGGGTATTTAGCTTCTGTGATCAAGGATCACTATAATGATGAGGCTTAGAGGCACAAGAAGCTTCCAGTACGGTTGATAGGAGACCAGGCCATTGCTTTGGCAAACTTTTTGTTTAGGCTCATTGGTGCCCTTTAAGTCTTGGATAAATCTCCAGCCCAGAAACCAGAAAGGTTAGCCTTAGGAAAAATTGCACAGTTCCATAGGAATGCTGAGGCTCTTTTTAACAAAATTGAATTTAGCCCATCCTGCCTTGGTGAGCTTAGAGAATTTTGTACACTTTATTTTAATTTATATGCATTATTTTTTTCATCAGATGTTAATGTAACTGTGTGGACAGTGGAGTATGCCACACCATATCATGCAACTAAATTGTATGAAAGCTACAAAGTGGGTTATGGTATAATATCATTACAGGCAAAAAAGGTGAAACACTTGGTGGTTAAGATGACTTGGATTGAAAAACAGATCCAATACAACGACTGAAAGGGGAAATGGTGGCAAGTAATGTGAGCTAATTTTGTAACAGCATTTTATTTGCCAGAACATCAACCAATGCCAAGTTTTTCTACTTCTCATTTTAAGTCTCATTTAAGGCTTCCATTCAAGCAACTTTTGCAATTGTGGAAAAGAAAAGGAAATTAATGATTGTATATGTGAGGTATGAGTCGATGCCAGGGTGACTGTCCAGTGTGCAGAGGGATAGAAACTAATACCTGAAGTACTTTCATCATTAAAACCAGTATTATGCTCTTTATGTGATGAGAGATTTCCTGATACTGTAACATACAAGGCTTATAAAAGTGTTCACTTAAATGCAGAAAGCAGCCTGGTGGTCCAGTTACAAATAGCTGTAATCTAAACCCTAGAAATATGAAAGTGACCTAAAAATGGAGCTGCAAAGTAGGCAATTAAGCACTAGTGGAAACAAATATGTTCTTATTAGATGCCTTGAGGGTGCATTAGCTAGTGAGACTGTAAAATAGGACTGTTCACTGTCAATGTATCACCAGAAAGCTCCATAGTCATATTTGATAACCATGTATGAAGTTTACATAAGTTTATTTGTTAACCAGGTAAATTTAAACTGTATTATCATTTAAGATCATTTATTGTCTTCTAGAAAATTTCAACATGAGACTATGTTGATACAGAAGTGTAACTAACATATATTTGAAAAAAAGCTACAAACTCGTGTCTCTTTGATCAACACTTTACAATATTTATTAATATCAACTTATTTATTCATGAGACTTTGTAAGCTTTTAACGAATACAAAATCCTCAGCCGTGTACCGTTGAATATAAAATGTCACCATAGCCCTCTGATTTTTGAGGTCGTATTCAACAACAAAAGGAGTGTCTTCAGATACAACTATGGCTGACCTGCCTTTGTAAACGGACGATGGCTTTGCCTTTGATTTCGGTTGTTGACTGAAATATCTTTTTCTAAGAACATCCTGGCCTTAGAATCTAGCCGGTGAAAATATATTCTCCACTGCTTGTATACAAGATAGTGTCGAGGTGATTTTTTATTTTCTTTCATTAAATTTCACTTTTCCACTATGGCCCTTTAACAAAACTGTTATGTGACGAAATATCTGCCACGGAATGAAGATGACAACTGGGCTTACAATTGATGCTGCTTTTGGGCGACTTAGTTTAGATGCAATCTGCTCTCCAATTTCTAAAAGGTAGCCATCCACCGGTGGACCACAAAGCAAAGTTTGTTGCCGCAAACCTCTTCCAGTCCGCTATTCATTCTCCCCATACCATAGTTTGGTCGTCTTTTAGCCCACCTGACCACCTCTATCTACTCCCGCTCAAAAGAAGACTTCAGCTCCAGTTCACTTGTGTTAAAAATGTCTTTCCCCTCTCTGAAAAATGTGTTTGGCCACTTAGATCGAACACGACTTTATCCAAATTCGCTGCCATCTTGATTTACGTTGGAATAGTCATGGCAATTACCGCAGATATATGCGCGCCCGCGCTTCTGGGACGAAAAAAAAAACCTAGCAACGAACCGCCGTGAAATGATATTTGCTAAGTTTTGGGTTGCCTTGTTTACTAAGCTGTCTTAAAAACAAATCGGTGGGTGAATTGTATGTGAATTGGGGATCATTGAAGGAAAAATCTTTTCCTATCATAAACCTTTCATTAACCATTGAAGAACGGAGTGCGGTCCACATCTTCGCTAAAATATTATTTGTCGGGGAATATTAGTTACGAATTAGGCATTGATTAAATGTCCAAGTAAATATCAATTATCACGGAATTGTAAATGATTGCACTAGAGAGTTGACAGATTTCATAATATTGTAAACAAAGTCCGCAGTTGATTTACTGTAAGAGAGATGCAGTAATTGCTCGCGTTTAGTCCGCCTAGTAAGGAAGGGAAAACGTGCTTTTGGATAATAAGAATTACGTATAGGCATATTACAGTAGGTTGACTTGGGAATTTACTGCACTCGTGATTGTAGGGAAAACACTTGCTGGTAGTTACGCAAGGCGAACTATGAGAGACTGTAATAGATATAGCGTAAGTTGGATTTGGGAGAATGTTTGAACTGTTACAACGAGAGAATTGATAGAATTAATTGATAGAACGTCGGCGGAGTTCGTCGAGAATAAAACTTGGAAAAGAAGATAGAATACAGTCCTCTTCGATTGATATCGAGTTAACCAGCGGCTGCGGAGTCCGTATAGATTCCGCGAAATTATTATACAATGACAAGTCTGTCTTATTGACAGATTTATTTTTTGGAATTACCATAACAGGTGGATTGAATTAGACAGTTTCATGGCTTGATTTCAAGAGAGCTCGATGACAACGAAGTTCAACCGTCAATTTTTGCGCCACTCCTATTTGTAAGAAGTTAACCAAGTTAACGGCAATGGTAGTGATGATAATGGTAACAACAATGTTAACATTGATAATGATAAAGACCAGGCTTACAGTTCTTGTAACATTCCTGATTGCAGAAACATTTCCCCTTTCGTCGATGTCGATAGCGAGAACATTTGCCGCTCGAAAAAGACTCAACATTGATATTTAAGTGGGGAGGGGAGGGGAGGGGCGTGGAAAAAAAAACACTTGACAAGGGTGGTAGGTTCAGATGCCAATCATATCTTAGGTAGAGACTGACAATTTTATTTGAAATGAAATGCCTTGATAAAGAATAGTATTTTGAACTAAAAAAAAGGTTCACGGCTGCCGGGAATGTATTTCTTGGGATTGCTTTATTCGGACACAACGGCCAGTTAAACAAGGGTTTACTCGATTAAAGTAGACTTTATCACAAAAAAACTTTACTTATTCAGAACCTTTAAGAACATGTTTATTAAGAAATTGAGGGGCTTTTTGCACGTATGCGCATGGTCTTCCTCCTGCGCCCACAAGCAGAGCTACTCAATCTTGCAAACTTGCATAAGTAGTGTTAGTGCTTATTTTAAAGTGCTTGTGTGAATTACTTGAGTGTGTGTCTGAATGCTAATCTGCCATTGAATGATCATTTGTATTAAACCCAAACTGGATTTTTCCACAACTATATACATTTTGTGCTTTAATATCACATGTGATTCGAAATCGGAAAGGAAGGAAATGTGGCTTAAAGTTGATTAAAATTGGACCCCAATCAATTTGTTGGGCCTATTATTCGAGCAAATTATAATTACTTCTAAATGTTCTCCACTGTGAAATAAAATCCTTCTCGACATTGAAAAAAACAGTCAATAAACTTAACGACATAACATTTGGTCAAGTTGATGACGATTGATCATAAAAGAGGCAGTTTTTCCAGAGATCAGTTCAATGTGTTGAATAAAGAGACAACAATGTTCTTACTGTCTCTTAAATTTGAAAGGTGGCCCCAGTTAGAAGAATAATAATCATTACTAGAACAGAGGCACTCGTCTTTACTTGAGAATTGCAAGAGTCTTCGGCACAACATGACACGTGACACGTTACTTTCATCGGGATACCAGGCTTCTCGAGGTCTCTACAAGCTTGAAGTGTACTGCTAGAGCACTGGGCTGGAGGCAAACAATCACGTTGAAAACGCTTTGATTGTGGCATGGTAGTGTTATCGTATGTCACGTGATAGTCATATTTGACGCATCTCCCTTCTTGTGCGGTACACTCTTTTATCGTCATGTTTCTGTCGCAGTTTTCCCATGACTCTCCGCTTTCGCAGACGTTACATCGTAGGCTAAATGCTAAAAAAGATATAAATTATGATGATAACGATATTAATTATGTGTCTGAGGAGGCTGTTAACTATACGAAAGCTGTTTTTTGCTTTGCTTAGCTAATTCGATGTCTGAGCGTTACGTTGAAATATGCACTACTCCTACTACTACTACTGCTGATAATAATGATGACAAAGATGATAATGATGATGGAGTTTACAGGCAATATTATTGCCAAACATAGTGGTTTCTTCTTAACTTTCTGATGGCTCTACCTTATTGGGAAACTCGTACGCTGCACGTGAAAGGTTTTATTTAGGCCTTGTATGTTACAGTATCAGGAAATCTCTCATCACATACAGAGCATAATACTGGTTTTAATGATGAAAGTACTTCAGGTATTAGTTTCTATCCCTCTGCACACTGGACAGTCACCCTGGCATCGACTCATACCTCACATATACAATCATTAATTTCCTTTTCTCTTCCACAATTGCAAAAGTTGCTTGATTTGTGTCGTGACACATCGGGACTTATCAAGACTTACCGGCGTTAAATTTGAAAATGAATATTAATGGAGCACGCGCCACACAAAAGCGAAAATGGCCTGAAAATCATTGGAGGGGTGTATGTTTTTCTTGCTTTCGCTAAAATCACTTTGAATAAATCCCTTTTACCATCTGGCTTTTTGAGAAGAGAGATTGAATAAGCCCCCTGTAACTTTGTTTTTGCTTTGGTATGTCTAGAAGGCATATGAAAACGAAAATAAAAACTCGCTTCTTCTTAATTTTGCTAGTATGAGAAACAGTCCTTCGCCTTATTATAGACGTGATTCTAAGAAAGGAAAAATTAAATTTTGTGTTTTTACCACATGGTTATTTTAGCTCGAGGCGAATAACGATAATAGTATTGATTTTGCAGATTATCATCCGTTAGAATTAAAGTGTTAGTAATACCAGTTATAAGACTGATTAAAATCTTTACGTTGCACCTATGCACCATAAAACTGAAGTTAGATAATTCATCGTGATGGAAAACTTTGTCGTTTTTAATTTCTGCTTGGATTTTCGGAGTCAAATCAAATTTTTAGAAACAGAGAAGGACAGAAGAAGAAGTAAAGTAAAGGAATTAAGTCCGTAGATTTCTACTGAAAGAAGCTTTGGTGATAAGATGAGCTGAATAGGAAACGTACGGTTTCATTTTTCCAGTAAACGAGTATCTCATGTTAGTTATCTACTCATTTTCATTTTACGTGTAACACTTTACAAAGCTGCCGGGTTTTTGGGAGAAGAATTTAAGTCGCACCAACCACGAAACGGGGAAAACTCAATTTTCTCTTCACACATAATCCTCTTGCGGCGTCACTATACTTGTTTTGATGCTCTGAAACCTCAAAGCCCTCACAAAAAGCTGACTTAGCAAGATAGACATTCATGATAACTTCATAGAGCGACACCGCAGGTTTCTGGCGGTCATCCGTCAATTTCGTGAGGTATTTACTTAGTTCTTACCCTGTCTTGCTCGAGGGTCTCTGAAACTTTTGTTATAGAATTTGTACGCTTTAATTTAAGAACAGAGATGGCTGCCGTGGTTCAACGAGTTAAGTCTCCGAGTGATCGGAATAGTGTTGAGATAAGTAAATTAATATTTTTGAACCAGTTCAAAGTAAAATTGGAATTATTGAGAATGAATACTTAAAAAAGAAATGACAAGAGAGATTTAATATGCATTTAAAAGATACTGATTTCTTTGAGCGCGGTTGTCTCGTCGTCTCTAATTACATATGTCAGTTAAAACATTTAAACTGGAATGAGTGAAACTAATTTTTTCTCTTCTAAGGCTTATATCCTGTCGTCGATTGATTGTAAAAAGAATTGGAATTCATTGAGTTTTTTTTCAAATCATCAGGCTTGCACATTAGTTCCTGTGTCCGGTGAACACACAAACCTCGCCAACGTTTGTAATTGTATTTGTTGTCTTATAGATTTTTACTAATCTTTCTGACGCGTAATATAAAGTTTTGTCGAATATAAATCAGAACGACGCGTATGTTTCGGTTTAAGCATTCGATTAAACTTACCTTTAGGGAGGAAAAACATTAAGAGTAACGGAAACAAAATAATAATTTTGCCTCGGCCCCGATTTGAACAGGTAAAATTCGCCATTCGTGCGTCGGACCAAGTCGGCAGGTTGTTTGAACTGCGACCAGAAGTTTTCACAGAGTTACTCGGCATGCACAAATTCTACGAAAAAGTTCTTCAGCGAGTCATTAATATTTTAGTTTATTATTGTATTCATGACACCTGCAAGAAGACTCGACACCGTTTCGATGGTGACTAATAATATCTACATACAAGCACCAGAAGGTGTCGTTATCATTGACTTTCTGACTGCGACATTTCATGCGAACTCAGTCGTTGCAGAAAACCATTTTACATCATTGCGTAGTAAGCCGTTTGACGGAATACTTAAAGTACTCAAGTTTTTCAACTGGATAATTGATTTTTTAAACACGATCAACAATAAACTTTGAATGAATTTGATTGCAAGCGAAATGTTTCCTCACTAGAACACAATAATCATGTAAGTTTAATATATTTGTTTAATTGATATTTTTCTTTCATGTGCGGTTCAACAGTCGTTGTAGGCGTGACCAATTCTTACTGAACCAACATGGCTTTTATCGCTATGTACGCACCGCTGCGTGCACAAAATTTGACGCTTGCGATTCATTTTACGCAAAGTTCCCGCGAGATCCCGTTTATCAACTTATTTTGCTACAGTCAATTGTGGAACTAGTCAAGTGCCATTAGCACACCTCAGTCTTCTTTTACTAGGATAACTGTCGGTCAAAATAATGAAAAAATTTGAACTTATAAGAGGGGAATTGTTCTTCAACAAATGCGCCCTTATTAGCAATATTGACACTGCGGGTAGAACGAGTTATGAAAGCCCTTGCGGAGTTTGGATACCACTTAAGAAGCTAAAGTTGGCCAAGGCTGCGCTTGGAGCAACCGGTTTATGCTTCTCTCTTGCTCTTCCTGCGTGTATCCATACCTCGATATAAACTCGCTAAGAATAAAACTATTTTGCTTTTATTAGGAAGGCCTAGCTTTAATCCTGGGTTGTGATTTTCCTTTTTGTTAAAGTAGTATGAATATTTCCAAGTATGATTAACTTTTATAATTACCGAATAAGAGAAGATTTTTCAATCATGAAAGGACATTTACGACATCGCACAAACTGGATATACATCTCTGTATTTTTTTTTTCAACTATTGTTTACCAAAGTAGAGGCGAATGGCGGTAGACGTTCGCTGCGCTCTGAAGCGCTACAGTAAAAATATCTACCACTTCTACTAGCACCGAGAAGAACATGAAGAATAATCAATGATGAACGGTACAGAGATTTACATTCACAGTATGAAGGAAAGAAAAAACAAGTGACTTTCCACCGAGTTTCGAGAACACTCTTCAAATAAACCATTTCCAAAATAAAGTCAATACAATTTTACTTGCACAGCTTGGTTTTCTAACTCACAATGGATTTTAATGACAACCATGGGGATAGAGTGGGATGAAGCCTTATAAGGTATAAATAAGCTGCAAATTTGGAAAAATATTTCTTCTGATACAAGGTAAATTTCAATACGCTCTTCGAAAACCGAAGCCAAACCTCTAAAATATATATTTAGCCAAGCCTAAAAGCCGAGCTCGCATTTTTTTTCCCGCACGTCTTAAGGGCACAACGCCTTGCCCCGGCCAGGACTAGAACCCGGGTTGTCCGACTCGGAGCTCAGTGCACTGACTACTAGACTACTGGACAAAGCCGTGGCGTTGGTGTGCCCGCGGTACAGTTGACCACGCATGTTAAAAGTAGCATCTTGGTCGGTCGTATGGTCGAACGGTCGTACGGTCGTAAGTCCAAATTTTTTCGGCTTGATCGGTTACTACTATTTTGTATACTATGGATAGATAGATAGATAGATAGATAGTTTATTATCAAGAACCTTGCAGCCACAGGCTGAATTACGTTTGATTTACAATAAAATATATACTACAAAAAATACATGGCTAAGAAGAACTAATTAAAAAGACAAAAATATATAATTAAGAGAAAAACACTATTACATCATTGCTTTATGGACATAGTGATGGATAAAACTATTTCGAGTACGAATGGTGTGGAGGCGCCGTGTAGTAAAAGAGTGCTGACTCCTTAAATTGACTTCGCACTCATTCTTGGGAGGTAGTAAGCTATAGAGCTTGTGCGAGGGATTAGACAGGATGGAATTAAAAAGCTTATCACATAAGAACTCGCGGCGGTTGTGTAAGGGAACTAGACCAGTCAAAAGAAGCGCCTCATTGTACGAACAATCTGGATAGATAATACGTAAAGCTCGCCTTTGACATCTCTCAAGATCTACTGAAAGGTATTGCGGGAGGCTATGATGATAAACAGGGCATGCATATTCAGTGACAGGCCTAATACAAGTCAAATAGAAGAGCAAAAGTTCCTCCGACTTGACTTGTGCACGCTTAAGCTGACGCAAAAAATACAGGCGCTTGTTTACTTTCTTTACAACTTCGGATACGTGATTATTCCACGTAAGATCGCAAGATATCTGCAAACCTAAGATCTTTGCTTGCTCTACACACTCTAAGTCCTGATCATTAACCTTAATTGGATCAAAGTTCTTTCTAGAGTGACTGAATGTTATGCGCAGTTCCTTGCACTTGGTTTCATTTAATTGGAACTTGTCAGCAGAAGCTTGCGTCGCGAGTTCGTCAACCGCTTGTTGGACTTTGCTGACCTCAGACTTCATGACTGTTTCAGAAATAGTGGAGTCATCGACATATTTCCACATGTCTGTACCCGGGATGATGAGGTCGTTTATCATAATAGTAAATAACCAGGGGCCAAGTTTTGTGCCCTGTGGGACCCCTGATGGGATGGCCCCCCACTCCGAGTTGATTGACCCAGGGCGGCTCGTTGGTTTGTACCGACTTAGACTTCAGGGGGAGGAGAATGTCCATTCCGGTCTTAACTATGGTCTCCAGCATTTCCACTTTGCCCTTGCAAGAATCTTTACTATCGATAAGTGTCTTAACGTCCACATTTCCAAGATACGTGCGCATAGCCATACGCGTTGTAGGCCGTAAGTCCCTCGATTTCACGATAAGTTTAGTTCTTGGTTGTTGGGAACGCACGAGCGGCTGAACTTCCACAGAGAAATGATCGGACAAACCGAGAGCAGGGCGCTGGATCGGAGGGGCATAGAACTCCTTCACATTTGTTAACACCGGATCTAAGGTATTTCTGCCGCGAGTTGGAAAGGTAACGATTTGCTTCAAATTAAAGCCGTTACTAAGGCGCGAAGATTTCTTTAACAGAGTTTTATTGAAGTCACCAAGTAAAATTATCCCGCAGCCAGGAAAGCGAGCCTCAACCAAAGATAAACAGTTATACAAATAATCCAGCATAGGCGAATCCGCGGCGCTCGGAGAATGATAAAAAACTCCAACAATAATGCTGGTAATGCCCCTTGGGAGACGCGAAGGCCGTATTTGAGTCCAAACAACTTCAAACTTCCTATCCATAATGTCCTCAATGATCTTGAATTGGATAGACTCTTTAATGTACAGACACACTCCCCCATGCACTGCTTCAGTTCGATCTCGGCGGATCACGTTATAGCCAGAAATAGCGACAATATTATTGTCAATGTGGTCTTTGAGCCAAGTCTCTGTTATGCATACAAGGTCGAAATCTGAATAATGGACGACTTCACGGACTTCATCTATTTTCGGCGCCAGTGACATGACGTTGGAGAGAAAGAACGACGGCATGAATAGCTTTGATGACTTTGCAGGTTCGGCTTTAGATGGTGTAGGTGGAATAGCGAGAAGGTTGGCGTTATTACAGTATTTGTGACTGGACTTCAAACGGTAGGGGCCATGGTTGGCTGACCTTGGTGAAATAACTGCAATATGGCGGTGACGATAAACTTCTCGCTCCTTCACTTGTCGTCCAGCTCTGGTACCGCGATAAGATGGCCATTTCCCACCATGAAATCGAAGAAAACCAAAAGAGGGGCGAACCTGGACCATTTTGCGGCAGCAGATATAACATTTAAGGCAATAAAATTAAAAAATTACGGAAGCAGATGAGACCTCGTGCTGCCTTGAAAGGCGCATACATACAGAATTCTTGAATGGGGCTACGCTCTGCGACCTCCGCTATTATCGCGTCGTGGAGGAACAGAATCAAAGTGTTTTCATTAGTCATTTTACTTCTAAGCACCATTATAATAAATTTTAGCGGTAATAAGATTTAATTATCATGACGACTACAGTTTGCAATGAAAACGATCTCTTGAGACTAAATATTTTCATTTGTAAGGAGACTGATATAGCAAATTATTCTCTCAATTGACAGTCTAAAATTCTACCATTGCGACCTCTTAGCGAAGATGTGACGAGATTCTTCAAAAAGAAACATGTAAAAAAAATAGGTGCTGAATATTTCCGTATAAAATATTTAGAACAAAAAAAAAAATACGTGTCTAATGCGCTGATAGATGTTATGCCAGCGGTATCCTCCCTTGCGAAAGGAAACTGTTTGTCATGCGCATTGCTACCGCTGACCTTTGCAACTCGAGTCAGTCCCAATTGACTAAAGAAGTCTTATCCAAATTCGTGGTAGCAATTGTAGCCTATGTATTTGCTTATCAGTGAAACAAAATTTCACTGCTACTTAAGTAGTGTTTATAACTGCGAGGATCGGTCCCATTTTCGTTTCTTCAACCGCAGTTCACATATACGATTTTTTGTATATTTACAGTCATTTACATATGTACCTATAAACCCGTTGCCGTCTCAACGCTCATTGCTAACACTTTTTAGGTACCAACGTTTGTGTAATCGAGTGTATGAAGAGGGTCACAATGGTGTGATGGCTTTTACGGCTAACGGTTAAAATTTTGGACATATTTACTTTTTTCTTGTGAGTAATATCCATATCGTATTTTAGGTAATTTAAGTGTAAATCAAAATAAATAGTGATAAAAATCTTACCTCTGGAATAGGGTGCAAAGACTCCTATCGTTAGAAATCAGTCGTCTCGATTTGCTATTTTCAAAGCTTATTTGTTGTTACTGTCTGCTTTTTTGAGAGCCTTATTACTTCCTTCTTATGCCATTGACGTAAGACATTGTTTGTATTTCATCATTACCAATTAAAATTGGCGAGTGGAACTTTCCGAAAGAATACCTAAACCACGGCGAGAATTATTGAAAACCTTGACATCGCGTAAACTTCTGCTAGAATCCTACTTTCAAGGAAATCCTATTGCTGGCGGAGATGAGTTAGGAAAAGCGTATATTTAATTACAAAAAATGAAAAGTTAGACAGCTGTGACGAAATGAATCATACACAAAAGGGGTGCTATCATGATTGTTAGAAATGACGCTACAGACGATCAGAAAGCGAATGATTGGTAGCGTGCTGCACATATCTGCGGTTTTGTGACAAGCATTCATATTTTAGTCGGGCGCGGTTATTCACTTTGTTCCGAACACTCGTAGCAAGAAACACCCGAATGACGCGTGAGTATGCAACATGTCGAATGCAACGAACTTGGTAGTTGTGATGCTGATCATTTTCTTACCAGTGGGTAAGTATAGAATTCATGTTAATCAACTCTGAGGCAATGACAAATATATTTCATCGCTAGTTACATCTTGTTTCTATTTCCGCGTTACTGCTACGTGGCTGCACTAACCTGCATGATGTTCGTCAAGGGCTCGTTCATCGTAAAGCTACTACTTTGCAACAATATTAACATTCTTGGAGCTTTATCAAGTGAAGTTTTATAGCTTCTTTCTCTGGCTTTCTCTCGCAGCCGTTAAAGTGTCTTAAAATGTCGAGTCGCGAATCAAAGCGGTTCTCCCGCATATGGAATGCTCAAATACGCTTACAGAACATTTGTTTATTCAGCTTCCTATTTGTGCAACTATGCCGAAAGGTGAGCAGAACCTTGTTTAGCTTAGTTTTCGAATACCGAGGATATAAAGAGGTTTACAAAGAAGCGTAGCTTTGCACTGCGGTAACGTTTCGTAAAATATGTGATAAGTATGTGCATGCAACTGTCATCAATATTTATCGAGGTATTAGTTCATAGAGTGAGCCGAAGTGATAAACTATGCCACGAAGTCTCACTGAATTATTTCTGGGTTTTCATGCACGGATGCACATTCAGGTAGTTATAGCGAGGGAGTTAAGGAGTTTTATTGAAAAGTTGTTTTCAATTTGAAAACCCCAATTTCTTTGGGAGTAGTGGTTTTTAGAGCTGATTATGCTGTAGTCTACGTTTCAAAGATTATTTTCCGTCATTTTCACGCTAAAATTGACCCAGTCTTTGGTTGAAGTAGGCTGATGAGCGGATGATCTTCTCTCGATCTTTGCTCTTTCGCCCCAAATATCTGTAGTATGAGAGAAGACAAATGACAGCTTTATTATAAAACGGTGTCTTACATGAAAGACTTTTGAGTAAGATATCATCATCTGACATTGCCTGAAATGTTTCTCCTAAATCCAGTGATTTCCCGTAAATGTTTTGTGTGTCTCAGCAACACCTCTTGGAATGACTGCGATGCCAATCGAAAAGAAGCCGAGTGCTCAACTTCGACGCATTGCTTCAGATCCAGCTCCAACATCTCCAGGAAAGAAAGTTACGCTAAAGGCTGCACGCGCACGTGTTCTGCTTCTTGTGTTCCCACCCAGCGGCTTCCTGATGTAGCTTGTAAAGTGGACTGCTGTTCCGGAGATTACTGTGCCAATGGTCGCATGATTACTGAGCACTCTCGTTATGATGGCCTTCGCTGGACTTCTTTTCTTGTTTGGTTATTAGATCTCTTAGATTGAACACAATTACAGTATATATTCAAATGGTGTTGTTGGGTTTGGAATTGTAATTATCGACATAAATTCGTCATTAAGTATGTTCAGGATGTCAGTGTAATGCTCGAAGCAATTACTTTTTTTTATAAATTTTGTCGTATTAATAATGATTTTTCTAAGGAAGCAAGATCGATGAATATTGTATTTTTTGTGACATAATACGCACTTCAATAATAACCAATACGTTAACCGCAATTATTTATTGCTACTTATGAACAGACGAAAAAACCCTTGAAAAAAGAAAAAGACGCATAAAATACTCAGCGTTTATCAAGTCAGCAACAGGTACCGGCCAAAGGTCGACCCCCAGTTTTCATATTTTGAGAAAAAAATATGCATTTGTCGAGCCCACTTTAAAGTTATTGGTTGTCTTTGCCCACGCCGTGAAAAGATGCTGCCGGAGAATTTCATTCCATACAGTTTCGTTTTGAGCGAAGACTTACTTTCCCACCATCAGGTACTGTATAGGGCTCCGCGGCTCTCCATCAATACTTTATTTTCAGAGACCGTTTTAATCAAAATTGAAAGAAACCAGAGAACCTCAGAGACTTCTCTGTCCCATAAACAACCAATAAATTTGCACATAATAAATAAGACGGGTATCAATTCTGATTTTTGTGATACCATTTCGCACACGAACACCGTGACAAACAGTTGATAAACGAAAGTTCTGGTTTTGTAGAGTGTCAATTGTTAGAAGTAAATTCTCTAACACTCGTTGTTGGTTTGGTTGATTCTTCTTTAATTTAATTTCTTCTCAAGTTGTTACAACTCCTATCTGACAGGGAAAACTAGAGTCTCCGCTTATAAAGGTGACACTGCGGATGACATTTCTAAGCCGTCAATCTTCTTGTGTCGTCATCGGACCATCTTAACTAGCGAATCACGCTCGACTACGTATTACAGTTCCCACATACTGAGTATGCACCTTCGAGTTGTTTACGCAGTTACAAAATCAATTTCTACCTTAATTTTCATATCTTTATGGTTGAGATCGGCCAGAACAGAAACGAGATCGTTAATATAAAAATTACAAATAACCTTGGTTCCGATTATTATTTATACCTGAAAGGGTATCTTAAGAGAAAATCACCTTTAAAGATTGTTACATAACAACATCTTGGTCACAAGAGTCAAAGAAGAAAGGCGCTCACAAGTACCGCTCCCCAAATTTGCTTTCGGTTGCGGAACATGAGGGGTATCACCTGTTTACACCTTAAATTACCTCTGGGAATACGAAGGTGTCGAACGCGACCTATTACCAGGGAGATTTACTCTTCCTGGACTAACAAATTAACTTATTTAAGAACATGGCTTATCACGAGTTCCATGTCAACCTCACGATCACAACGAGGAAAACGTGATTAAACTCACTAGGTGAACGTGGCCAAACTCACAAGAAGAACGTGACCAAACTCAACCTTTAAGATAAGACAACCAAGGAGGAGTACGAAGTAATCAACCTGCCCTTTTTTATAATTTGAATTAAATGACTTAGAATAATATAATATTTCCATTCCTTTTCTTTCCGACACCAATGCAGGAAACCCTTACGATATTGTAGATTAACTATAATTGTAATTTTATCATTTAACACAATTGCTATTTTCCCAAGTTTATTCCCTTCATCATAAGCGTCTTGCATTGTCTGATAAATTGTTTGCGTATCAGAACCCTAAACCGTACAGGCATAAGCCGCTAGCGAGTACAGACAATTTTTTATAGAACCACTCAGCGCTATTCACCATAAAATTTGGTTTTAAATTACTTTTCAAGGTAGCAAACTTCTCGTTGACTGTTTCTTTTGAGCTGTTCAAGTACGGAAGGAAGCAGGGATAAATATAAGACAATAGCTTCTATTTGGTGCGAAAATATGCACAGATATTTGTCTGCGGACCTCACCTTTTCTGAGATGCGAACAGTTTTCCGAGAACGAGGTTCAAGAGAAAATGAGAGCTTAAAGAATATCCAAGGACTATAGAGGAGAATATTTTTGCGCCAAATGGAGGCTATTGTGTTTATTATCCTTCAAATATCTTTGCGGCGCGCAGTTGAAATGTCGACGAACGATTTATTGTTTGCTGCGTGGGATGTTTACTTTTCAGAGTTCTCTGTTACGACTGTATGGACAAACAAACACGTTCTGTAAGAATATGTAAACGTTCCCTCACCTTGAATTGAATTTTAAACGAACATTTTTAACGTAGGGTACCAAAGGGAAATTGGGGAATATCACTTCGATTATACCCGTGAAAAACCCATCTACCAATCGTAGGCGAGCAAAAATATTTGACGGATTTTAAGAAAACACTTTTTCTTCTTTTCCTCATAGATTTTCGCGCTTTGCACTCGTCACCAGGCGCTCGCACCTGTTTGTCTGAGAAAGAATCAATTTAGGCCGAATCAATGAATATGTGTCACCAAACAGATGTTCACCCAAACTTACCAATGCCGTTTATCAATAAAATTAACTCGGCTCGGCAAACCTATTATCTGATACAGACTTTATAATTTGTGGATTTGCCTTTTTCAGATTAAAATTTAAAGGAAAATTGTTTATTGTTTTGCGATCACAAAGACTGCTTCATTTTTATTTGCTGAAAGATGTCAACAGAAACAGCTTCTTCATCTTCGTCACCCAATTCCCCCGTCAAGTCAACCATGATGTGTGGTCAATTCTTGTTTTTGGAATTTCTGATATTTTTTGTCATATTCTTAGTAGGTTTTGCAAGCAATATTTTGTTCATTTTGCTGAGTTGTAAGACAGGAAATAATTCCAAATCCTACAGCAAGAACTGCAATGACTATCTGCTTCACTGCTCCATTGCAAACTTGATCCTTATGGTCAGAATGCCCTTTGATATCATCAGCTTCACAACAAATGGATCTTGGTTTTTTGGGGAGTATTCCTGCAGGTAAGTCAAAGAGTTTTAATCAGTTTGGAGACGCAACCCTTAACTTTCCGCACACTCGATCTGATAACTTCAATCTACTTTCAAAGTAACTTCACCAAAAGTGTTCTTGTTCAGTTATGCTGAATTCCTCTCAATGCCTCCCATTTAAATTCAACTTTAGAAAGTTTCGCTTTTATTTCACTTTGTCTCTTCGAAGATATGAATCCGTAAATGTGACTGAGACAATTCGCCAACCTCGGCTATTCAGTCACTGACCAGGATTTAAAATGAGTTTTTTTCGCGTGTGCGTTTTTCTCTTTTTACTTTTTCCTTACTTTTACAAATATTTTTTTGTACAAAAATAAACAGCAGTTTTTGTTCGTCAAGTTTTATGAACCAAATTTTGTGAACACTGAGGCATCTTCAAGGTGGAAGCAATCTTTCTTCCTGATTGGCAAATGACGAAAGAAGCGATCCAATTTTCGTGCGAGCTCGAAAATTTGCATTTTTATTAAAGGCCAAATTATAGTAAGCGTAAATGATTCTCTGCGTGTAGAATGGATATGAAAGAAAATGCTGGAAAACATTAAGACTGAATAGCAATTTGTCTCGCTTTTGGAGGATACAAAATGAACACAGCTTGTCTAAATATTTATTATCGTTTCCGCTTCTGTGACTCGACTGTTGTGTTTTACTGATAAAAGGGGTTTACGATTTAGCTGGAAAATCGATCCAAAAAAAAATGAAGTGAATTAACGTCGTAGCGAGAAATCTCTTCAGAAAATTACCACGTAGCTTCCTCAAAAAACACATTCAAAGACAGGAACCAAGTGAGACCTCGTAAAAAACGGAAATATACACTTTGGTGCCTCAACGGATTGAATAATTATGTGAACAACTAAGCTTCCCTTCATTGGGAAGGGTGGGGGGGGGGTGTATTCAGCAACGCGGCTTGTCTGCAGAGGTTCCTAATTATTTGAGGTGGCGAGGGAGCCGAAGATTCCCTTTCTGTAAGACATTTGGTTGAAAAATCGTATGCTTCTGCTCAGAACAGCCGCGGCATGTTTCACTTACACCTTCTCATGTTCTGATAGAAATATTGCGATTCAAACCGTCTTTAATCAGAGGAAAACCAAACGTCGACTTCCGGTGAATTACTAAATAACTAAAACTTAATTTCTTTGCATTTCATTTCCAGCTTGCACTTTTTTGTCGAACGTGCGATTTACATTGCCATAGCAACCCATATCATGAATATGGCGCGCGATGCTTATACCCCATTTGGGTTTCCTACCCAGCCCTCTTCCTGTACAACCAACTGGGTTATGTCGTTGGTGTTTGCGTTCCCCTTGCTGTTCACCTCCCTAGTAAGGATACCTGGGAGGTGCACACGCTGCACACTGATAAACAACAGCTTGGGTCGAATGCCAGTGTTTCAGTGGACTGAATACCTGTACGTGGCCATCTTGCCTGTGATGACGGTTTGCTTTTACTGCAATAAGTTTGGTGTGCACCCAGACTATGAAGCCCTTGACAAAGCTGGTAAGAATAAATGTAGCTTATCACTTTGACTCGAAAAAGATCTTCGCGCGATCTTACTCAATGTTTACACAAATTAAGCTCCGGGGATTGAGGTGCGTACCAGCTTAGTTGTTACCGCGGTGAGGTCTTGGTCGAAAGAAGGCAAGTTTCAGGTACAGGCCAGACCCATGCATTTCTTCAGTCAGAAGTAAAGATGTGTAACCGGCTGGATACGCCAGGGACATCCGACAGAATGCCTGGTAGTGACCTGTGCATTCTTCCCTGGAAAGGGGGAAGGGGAAGTAGTAACAATCCACTCACTTACGCATCATTCAGAAAACTAGGAAAAGCCTTTGGGGTCATAAGACTTGCGCGCAAATTTAACCTTTTGATTTAATATTTTTGTGGGATGAAGTGATTGTCAAACAAAGGCCAAGAGTTGATTGTTACGCCCCGAAAGTGTTTAGTTTGCGACCCGGAACCAGCCATTTCTGGAGTATCATCTCACCAGCTTGATTTTCATTACTAGTTTGATGAGGCCACAATCAATCAGATTCGTATTTTTTTTCCATCTCAGTAAATCAATTTAATGGATAGAGTAGTGAAAGCAATGACTACAACAAAAACTTTTAAGCCCAGCTCCACTTATTCTGGCATTTTTTTTTTCAATACCAGTTTTTTAAACAGCATTCTAACGAAAGATAATTTTATACTCCTACCCCCAGACCCAGATGACCACAATGGCCAAACCAAGATGAAATTGCGCAGGATTTGCCTTACACTTGCTACGACCATTTTTATCTGTACCAGTCCAGCGCGGCTTACCGAGATCGCGGGTGGAAACTTTGAATTGTGGCCTGGAAGCCGGATCATTTTCTTCTTTATTCCTCGGTTGCTGATTTATGGGCAGACCATAATATTCAGTGTAGTGTGTGCCTTTTCCTTTCCAAGCTTCTACCAAGAGGCTAAGATTGCAACAAAGAGAATATGCAGCTGCCGTATCCACCGCCTCATCCAGCATAAGACCCTCACTGAACAGTGAAATGATAATTCATTCCCCTTTCGGCTCCTATTTTGTTTCTTTTAACGTAACTTTGGGTAACTGTATAAAAGAGTACTTCGCAGCCCTCAAATGACTCCTTTAACGGGGATTTGTGTTTACAGTTCTGTCTCCATTCGCATAAGCGCCTTATATCCACCTGTAAGAGTTACAGGAATGTTATTTCTAAAAATCAAAATTAAAGGCCATGGTTATCTACCGTCGCACGTAAATTGATCCCGCAGAAGAGCTACTGCATTATCTGACAAAAATATAAAACAAGTTCTCACTATGAAAATATGTATTATTCTTAGAATTAATATAAGATAAATTTAAAACAATTGATGTTGGTAATTGAGAATAAAGAACCCGGCTAACCCGCCAACCATGAGAATGAGTATCATATTTTTGAAACAGGAAATATTCCGGTATTTCTCTAATATGTACATAATAGATAAATATGATTGCTGGTTTCCTTTTTCAAAATTAGTCGTTGGACGGATTACGATTTGCATTGAAAGAAGGACTAATTTAATTATCGGGTTCGAATCTAGTCGAAGCCTTAATGTTTTCACGTCTCTTTCCTTTTCGGCAATCACTTAATCGCAGCTTAAGGATCAGTAAATATTTTTAGCGTGGGGCAGAACATTTGGGGGATCAGTCGTGGCTAGAGGAGTATAAAGGAGTGAGCTATAGAAAAATGACTGCTAAGTAACTGTTAACAAGGGGAGATCATCAGAGTATCACATGGGGATCAGGCAGGAGGGTTCGAGGACGTCCTCTCCATGAACCGTCTGGATATAAGCCAACCCCAATTTCGTACGTAAAAGTTTTTTTTTTTTTTTTCTTTTTTTCATCAAGATATTGCCAGGAGATGCTAATCGGTTGTCAATTACTGCAATGTATTGCAGTAATTCTGTCAGCTTTACTCTAAAAAAAGTCACTATTTACAGTATTCATTGTTTATTTGCGAAGTTTTGTTGTCGTTCTCTCCATCAGTTTTGAATGAAACTGATGGATTCCACATAATTCTTAAATTATGTGGAATCGAGAATGACTTTTGTTTCGAGGAATCCACATAATATTGAGCTAATGAATTGAGTGGCCCATTACGTCTCAAAAAAGTTGACCAATCAAATTCCATGCTTCTTGAATTTAAATGTCATCACACCGCATTGAAGCTCATAGAGTGACAGCCGACAGTTCTTACTATTTGCAGCACAACGTTGCACAAGTTTCGCGTTGTCGCTAAATAACATTACCAGAATGCGGCTGAAGGGGTCCATTTTCCGATTAGCGACAATTTATGTGATCTTCGTTCTTCTTCCAGAAGGTGAGCAGTCTAAATAAAATCAAATTCAAAGGTTCAAGTTAAAATGAAATTTTTACCAACAGGAATTCGTCGGAGATACCGAGAAAAAACAAGGCCCTTCTCTATTAACGTAAACTAATAATGCTTTAAATAGACACAAACAACACGTCAATATCAAATATTTCTTTCAGTAGTGCCGACCAAAGGCTTTCAGCTCAGTTCAAGTTTGTCTGTACTGGCCTTTCAGATTCTAAAACATGTCGCTTGCTTTATGCAAATAAAATGTGCGGATGTTTTCGATTCTTTAGTCAAGTACACATTATTCTTAACCAATGCACCGTAACTGTCGCTTTTTTAATCCACTAAAACAATATCCGTAGTCCACAAAGAACCATTAATGAAAGAAAATAGTGAAAATATGTTATTCAATCATCGAAACAAACATGTTCTGACTATAGTTCCATATCAGACACTTAAAGCGTGTACAAACGGTCTGTTAAGATCTTCAGATAGTTTTTAAATTAATTAAACTTAATTTCTGAATATTCTATAGGAATTGGAAATTTTTGACCAGGAGACCTTCTCTAACAAACTAGGTTATTTTTCCATCGAAAAAGAAAGGGAACGAAATTGAAATATGCGTGACATAGATTGATAACGTGTTTGCCGCCCAGTGTTTGATGCGAGGACCCCATACAAAGTTAACGCGTCTAAAAAAAACCCGCTGGACAAGTTACGTTAGGTGACAGCTGCGGAAATTATTACCAAGGAATGAAGCACGCAATTCAATTGATTTATTTTGAAACACTGATAGTCATTCGGCAGGCGAGAGAAAATTAAATTAATGCCAACTAATAAGGCTGCAAAGAGTGAAATTATTACTGACATTATCAGTTTATGATAAACTGTTTGTCGTTTTAAAAAAATGTTGTTGAACTCTAAGTCTGAAGGTCCTTTGAAGAGAGGATCTGGGAAGAGTACTGAGCCATGAGATGGGGCCGCAAAATTCCCCACCCCAAAGAGTCCCTTTTGTCCCAAATATTTTAAGCGCGGCCAAACAGTTGCTAAATCTTAGGTTTACAACAGTATCCATGATTTGTCTTCCTTATTGCTCCCGATCCTTTACAATATTGTCTGGGACAACTTAATAAACGATAAAATGAAATCAAAATTCTTTGTTAAGTATGGTGTTGTGGCATTTAGGTGACACATGTTGGATTAAAGCATATTGAAAACCATTGTTTAACCGTGTAAAAATCTTTATCACTCATTTCCGGATCAATAAAAATGATGATAAGTCAAGAGTAATAAAATTTCAAATCATGGAGACAACTTGCCAGGATGCAAGAATGCCTTATATAGTACATCAACTTATCATGACGTATTAACAATTTGTGGCTTTTTATCACGGACCAGGCCTGATCACGGACCTGCTACTGCATGTTACGTCACAAGATAAACACTAATCCATCTCCAGTAATGATTAATCAAAATGGCGGACCGAATGGCAGTAATTGACAAAAATACGGAAAATCCAAAGACCGATTATACGCTTCAGAATTGTTAGATTTTTCAGTCCTTTTTCAGCGTGATCTACATACAGGATATGATTGCATTCTTTTTTGGGCCATAGTAAAAATTTTAAAGTTTGAATCACAATTATGAAAGATCAAGTTTATTTTTGGCTTCGAGATAAATCTGGAAGGATGTGGAACGAACTCGTGGACCTTCCCACGGTTCGTTCCATGCTATTTGTCCGCTGCTGTTTCCTGTGGGGGTGACGTACCACTGATTCTTACGGCGTTAAAAGTATGTATACATACGTAATCTGCACGGAAATTTCTTGATGTATTTTCATTTCCGCGCCGATATTGCTCTGAATTGGTGTTTTCTTGATAAATAGGCTGTTTTATAGTACTTTGCTATGTAATTTTGCCGGTGGAAACTTCTGAGCAGTTCTCCAGTGGGTGCGCCATCCGGTGCGTGACACGTGAACTCCGAGTTAACAACACCAGCATAGGTTATTAGCATCTGGAGTAGCAAATAAAATATTTTTTCTTGAGAGAACTTCGGCAAACGAGAGTAATTCAATATAAGCTTGGCCCTCCAATCACCTCCTCCACTTAATTATCTGTGATATCTGGTCATCCCAATTCTTTGTTTTGCTTCCGAAACCGACGTAACACATTTTAGCAAAGAATGTCAAAGTAAACATTGAGCGAAGGAATCCAGTCACTAGTAACCGTGATGAAAGCTAATAATCAAACACAGCCCCTCTATCACAACCTCAACTTTAAAACATATGAAATTTTACCTTTACCCGATCGACAACAGAAATCTACTTATTGTTATCCGTGGTCTAAATTCCGGCATCAAAACGTGAGACATCTCATATTCGCAAACGTCATAATTCTGAGGTGCGGTTGTTGACACACACAGCGGAGGTGAATCGCTGACACATTTCCACGTTCCCTTGGATAAAAACCACGTCGCTTTCGGACATTCAACCAGTTTATCTTTGACGTGCAAGTGAGACATCTTCGATAACCTAGACGAGAATGACGCTGAATTTATGTGTGGCGCTTTTGAGTTGTACACTGTTGTTAGCATTCTGTCGTTGTGGTGAGTCGATATATTCATGATTTTAAGTAATTCAAATTGTGACGTTATTGTTGCTATTACCGGCTGATTTCAATGTAGCAATCGTTTTTTGTGAACGCTTGTATAAGTATGAAGGCAAGGTCTCCTCGACCTTTGAGAAAATGTCTCATTCATGTCAAATGAAAGCAATTTGTGGTCGCTATTCATTTAAAAAACACTCGAAGAAAGGACTATAACTCATATTTCCAGAGACTGATGACTGAAGGCATGAGTTTATTTATTGTAGGGAACTCGAGTTATTGAGGGTAAATATCCACGATTGTTACACCCAAAAGGCCAACAAAATTTGCCTTTGAGTCAGCCATTTATTCACTGAGTAAATTGCAACTAAATAAGGAATTGTAGTTAGTGTAAGTCAAAAGGTCAGGATTAGATTCACCTATCAACGATTTCATTTCAGCGTGACTTTGACATAACCCAACAATGGCATGTGATTTGAGGTGTTTGGTTTCTCTTTATTTTGAGAAACATAGAGAATGAATAAGAAGTTGCAAATTTCCGTGCGCTGATTTTGTAATGAGTATGAATTTAGGCCGGAAAATTTAGGTAAAATGAAAGAACTCTGAAACACGAGGCTTATGAAACACGATCTCAGACAATGGTCCAAGGGAAAGCCATAAGATACAGAGATGAGTAACGACTTAAGCTTGACATGGGTAACCTTGGGGTTTAATTGACAAAATGAAGAAGGAAAGAGCAAAGCTGATTCAATTATCTTCACCTTGCCACGTAGATAAGCTTGACGTCTTTTTAAAGCGGATTTAATGTTATATCAGACCAGTACGTGCTTAATCCTTTAATCACGTGCTTCTCAACATTCCACGAGTAAAGTAGCGTAACTTGTGTACGAAATGACCTTTCTATTGGTTTACTGACGTAATAACTCAAGCGGGATGTTTGAAGGACACTCGAAACGTTTGCAAATCACTCGTCTCCGACTTGTGCCAATTGGAGAAAGCTCAAAAATGTAAACAAAAAAGTTCGCTTAGACACAATTTACCATAAAAACCTAACAATGAAAAATCTAAAGTTTGTTTTAAAATTTTGGGATTAGTTGATTGATGGATGGAAGGAATGGCTAGAATGGCTTTTGCAGTCTTGTTTAGTAGGCTTGTGTGCATCACAAAAGTACCAACTTAACACATTTCTGATGGACATGCACTTGTGTCGTGTCTCCTCTTCGACTTGTAAATCTTATGACATCTCTTTTTTTCTTCCACAGGAAATACTCTTCTCTGCTATCAATGTGCCGCAGGTTCTGAGAATGAATGTAACAATAACCAAAATCTAACCTCGTGTAAAGTAGAAAAACAGCTTTGTACCACAGCAATATTTTCGCACTCGAACAACGAACATACCTACTCAAAAACTTGCTTACCACCATTTTTTATCAACGGATACTGCGAAAGAATAAACAAGTCAAGACCTGTGTATAACTGTTCAATTTCCTCTTGCGATAAGGATTACTGCAATGGTCCACCACCTACAACACCATCTACAACACCAGCTACAATCGCAACCACAACTGATAACAAGATTCCCACTAAAGACATGAATAACCAAGAATCAACAGCCTCTCCAAAAGATACTACTGTCCGGTCTGGAAGCCCATCCACAACTTTTGGCTTAAGCACTTCGGGAATTACAATAGTCTCTTTAGCTCTTTGGAACATTTTAGAGATAAGCTACATCAGTTAACTTAATACGATTCAGCCGAATGTTGATGGAATGTTAATTCTGTTACAGTGAGATTTATTCACACTTTAAACCCAAGGGGTGATCAGCATCTAATTTCTCCTTTCTGTAATAAGGCTAATTCATTTTTTAAGATTATGAGGATAACTAAAATGATCACTAACCTATGAAGCTCTGATTGTAAAATAAATTCTCGATATCAGTACCATAAGGATTGTAAAGATGAGAGACTGGAGAATGTGGATACTGTTTATAAGGTGTTAAGGGTAATAAGTTGACCTATATGTAACCAGAACATAACTTGCTTGTATATAAAATCATCCTTACAGTATTTAAAAGTTTATAAAAGGTTGACCAGGAAACAAAGCCGGCTTTTTTTTGTGTGACATGTTTCTTTGAAAATGGGTATCAGTAGTTATTTCGCCTCGCTGCATCAGTTATGATTACTTCCTCTTCATTTTTTGTCTTCATTAAGCAGTGAAAGTCAAAAGTGAATTCACCAGATATGTTTACTATGAAATATAATTCAAGTCTCGCATGTAAAACTAAGAAGAACCGATTTCTACTTGACTTCAATCTGGACAATAACACTCAAGTCAATTATTTTTCTCAATTTGGCGAAGAGGATTATAACTACGGTAATCTAGCCGTGAGTCAGTAAATGGTCTTAATCACGTCGACGTTGTATTTAAAATATCTATAATCTTAGTTTATAACAAGTTCTGATAGTCTTTTTAAATCGAACCTATTAACGTTCTTTTTTGAAAGGCCAGAGAAACGCAAATACATTTCCTCAGCGAAAGGATGTTTTTTCTTTTGTATTAAGTCTAATGGATTTCAGCAAGGCTTTTGATAGTGTGAAACACGATCTCCTCTCACACAAATTGAAGCAACTCCCCCTAAATCCTTTTATAGTTAACTGGTATCTAAGCTTTTTGGAAGACAGGCAGCAGAGAGTCATTAGAAATGGGTTTATTGGAAAATGGAAAAGTGTCAACAAAGGTACCACCCAAGGAAGTGTCAGCGGGCCGCACTTGTTCAATGTCTTTCTCAGTGATTTAGAGATACACTTGGACAATAAGAGCGTGCTGGTAAAATATGCAGATGATACAACCATTATCTCGCCTGTGATAGGTGATAATGACAATTCTATCGCACTGATTAATCAGTTTTCCCAGTGGTCTAGAAGTAATGGTATGTGTAGCAATCCATCTAAGTGCAAGGAAATCATTTTCCGCAAGAAAGGTTGTACAATAGAGTTTCCGATGGTGTCTGGAATACCACAGACAAAAGAGCTTACTATTTTAGGGGTAACATTTCAGGAAGACAGTAGGTTCATAACACATATTCGGGAAAAACTAATTAAAGCAAACAAGTGCCTGTTCATTTTAAGATCTTTAAGGAAAGAAGGGTACAATCAGGCCGAAATAGACCATCTGTTTCTAAATCTGGTTCTACCAAATATATTATACGGGCTGTCCGTATTTGGCGCTGTAAATTCCGAATTAACAACAATCCAATGTTTCTTAGATCGATGTTATAAGCGCAAGTATACATCCGATCACATTAATGTTTATGAATTGTTAGTTCAACAGGACACGCGTATCTTCAAGAATGTTTTTTAATAATACAATACACCCTTTAAGAGCTATAATGCCAAAAAAGAAATTAACCAAGTACAATCTGAGGAAAGAGACAAGTCACCATCCTAAAATAAACACTGATAGGTTCAAAAACACGTTTGTTAATCGCTTAATTTTTAAACATAATCTAGTCTTATAATTTTTATCTTGATTTTCTCTGTAATTTATATATATGCCTTCTTTTAATGTTGTAACATAGGATATGTGATTATTTATCTTATGACTTAATAAAGATTCAATAATAATAATAACCAATTTTCTCTCAGATGTACATATCTAGGGAACATGCAAGATTAAATCGAATTTAACAGCCTTGATTTAAGTTTTAACAATGAAATAACGGAATGAATGCAACAAAAAACTCCCAGGTTGTTGAACAATTTGTCAATAACTGACCACCTAGCACGTAATTATGTGTCCGGATGTTGATCGAGAATAACTTCAGAAGAATTTCTAGTGGAATTGTGAGCCCTTCATTCATACCCATATTTTGTTGTCTCCATGTCTCTCACTTCCTGCTTGATCATCATGTTGAATTCTGGCTTAATACAGTCTGAACCTCGGCAAAGGTAAATCAACCAAATAGGAAATCATCGATTTGACATTGAGTATTCAATATTTTAATTTCGGCGCCAGCGGTCGGACGATAAAGAATATCAAATCAGACATCAACTATCTTGCGGTATATTTGTGGTGTAAACAGGAACTTTTTCAGGAGAGGAGGGCGCGGAATAAAACGGATGGGAATGGCATTATTACCACTCCCTCCGCATACTTGCTTTCTGTATCAGTTTTATTTGGTTAAAGGATGTCCTCTTAACCTGCATAAAAGGCGCTACGAGGAATGTTAAGGCGCTGTACAATAAATATGAATTACGGGGAGACTCATCCTTTCCCAGCTTAGTCCCTCGAACTACGATTTTGGGGAATAATATTCAATATTGTGCTTGGACAAAGAGCAATTGTGATACGTAGCAGCTTATTATTGAAACTGGCCCGGGCAAAGAAATTAATTTTGTTAAAAATCTTCTTGTTTAGACTTGTTCAATTTTGTTTTCCAAGACGACCGATATTCTAGTTGTTTTATTTTACTATTATCATTTCAGTTATCTAATGTTTTGCTTTAAGTTTACTGAGTCTAACGAAAATCACGAACATTTCCTTTTTATACGCATTGTTTGCCAGTTTTTTCTATAAAACAGGTTTTGGCCTAGACAATATAAATATGATGAAGGGGAATGAATCTGGGAATATTGAAATATTCCAAAATAGTTCTTTTACCGAATATTTCAAACAGACGCGGTCTTAAAAGAAAAGTGAACTTTAAAATTTTCTTGATCATGTATACCAAAAATTGAAGCAGGAATTTGAAACTTGCCTGGCCCTCAATTTCATTTCTCATAGAGTAAAACTGGACTACGATATGAATAAACCTCAAATGGATAAAAAAAATTCTCTACCTCCTGGTTTTTCTGGTGTCCTGTGGCGAACGTTGGGTAGGTTTGTTAAATCATACATGACCCTACAATTGCGGAAAAACCCTGTTGAGACAATTTGTTCATAGGCATTACTTCCTAGAATATCAATTCTTCACATTAAGAAAAAAATGAACAAACAAACAAACAAACACCCTTCTCTTCTCCATGTTGTTTCGCCTATTTCGTCCAAATATAACAAAGTGTGTTTTCCGAGGAAAAATGCCACAGGACTGACAAATGAAGAGGAAAAGGGGACAGGAAGAGCAAAACACATCACCCAAAATTGAAAATATAAATACTATTTTTTTCCGCAATTGTAGTATATGGCATATTCACAGTCATTTATTCATCACACTACGGGTTTATCTGGAATCAACATAATGACCAGCTCCCAGTTGGTTTGTTAGCTCAGTTGGTAGAGCACTGCAACGGTATCGCACAGGTCATGGGTTCAAATACCGTACAAAGGGCCTGAATTTTCATTACTGCTCAAGTAGTGTTCATTACAGCGAAGATCGCTTTCATATTCACGTATTTATCCGCAGTTCAAATTTGTGAATTTCATATATTTACAGTCATTTATTCATCACTTCACGGGTTTATTTGGAACCAACATAATGTTCCCAGCTCCCAGTCGGCTTGTTAGCTCAGTCATTTATTCACCTCTTTACAGGTTTATATAGAATCAACATAATATCTAGCTCCCAGTTGGCTGGTCAGCTCAGTTGGTAGAGCGCTGCACCAGTAACGCTGTGGTCATGTATTCAAATCCCGTACAGGCCTGAATTATTTTTTCAGGCCTTATTTTCATCACTGCTCAAGTATTTTTCATCACCGCGAAGGTCGCTTTCATATTCACAAGCCTTCTACTGCCATTCGTAAACAAACTTCTTAATTTTGAGCTGGCACAAAGATGTTTTCAACATTTTTCTTAATGAAATTTATCAATTAGGTAATTCGGGGACTTACAACATACCAACAAAGGCATTAGGATGATGAAAAATGTAGTACAGGGATTAAGTTAATTAGTCTAAAACACAGTACAACCACAAAATAAATGACAGATAAAAAGCAAAAATGTATTGGATAAGCGTAATGAAACCACAGACATTGTTTTCAAATAAAAATGATGATGAAATCAAAATAATTTGTCAAATTTACTTGTCTCCATGTGGAAAATTCTTCGTGAGACACCAATAATGCCTGAAATTCTTAGTTATAGCACGGAAAATATCGCTATAATAATGTAAAAGCTAAAGACATTTTAGATGTGATTTTTGTTGACAGAAAGATTTACCCGACTCTACGTTTGAGCTTACTTGAGTTCATTAAAATTTCATTGAGATGCAGCGAAGGAAGTGCAGTTTTAAGCTTTAAGATAAGCCGGATAATCTTTTGTGACGCCTCAAGAGCAGTCTTTTTCTCGCACTGAAGTACGCTTCTGTTAGTCTGGTTGAATATTTGGGGGCGTAAACATTGGCAGAGAGCTTTACACACCTGAAGGCGTATTTTATAATTTTTAAAATTACTCGTACACTAACTTGCCTATGAAAAATTCTATACTGCTCTTGGCGCAAGGAGACACAGCTGATTAGAGCGAAGTGAAACAACACGAGCTGACAAGTAATTCACGAGGTGATTTTGAAGTATTTCGTCGATAGAATTGTAATACTGTACCCTCAAAACTTTCAGTTGGATTCCGTTCACTTTATGGAAAAATTATGAAATGATATCCGTTTTAGAGACCTGGTTTTCGTAAAAACAAATTGTTTCTCAAGATGTAACCACTTCTTGTTTTAGGGATTGGAACTGATGGATCCTCATTTTCTAACACTCGTTATTCTAACAACAGGTAAGGATTTGATTTTGATAGAAATTTTCTAAACGTAATATAATTGTGATTAACAAGTTCAATACGTTACTAAGCTTACTTGTGCGAAGTCTATCATCGTTTCCATGAGCGTGTAATCATCGTGAAAAAGTCATTTGCGCGCCAAATCTACAAATTATCGTTAGGTTAATCTTCTTAGCAAAATTTTTGCGCAAACGTGTTCGGTTTAAGCTAAAATTAAGGGACAAGAAAAAACCACATTTGATTGACGCTTAAATTTTGTCAGCTTTGTATTAAAAATGTATGATCTCCGACGCTGCATCATCAAGTTTGTAACCTGGTACAGCAAAATGCTATTTAAAAAGTATTGATTTTTTTTCCTATAGTACACAGAATTTCATACTGTCTTTTATTTTGCAGTCATATTTTATACTTTTATCATTAGTTTATAATCGGCGTTTCCTTCCGGAGGAAGGGAGGACGGACGATGTATTCGTCAAAATGTTGAGCCTCGTCCTCCGTGGGAAGCCGACAGAAGATTTTATTACAACATTTCATTGAATTATTCTGTTCTGACGCTTTATATCGAATAATAAACGTCATTTTCATAAGCCATTTAACTGGAGAGCTCAAAGTTGCCTGTTATTTCTTACGTAACAAATTACAACTGAGGCTTAGCTGAAGTGTATAGATGAGATAGAAATGCAAGCCAGCACCAGTCAGTTTGATGAAATTTGTCTGAAAATGAACAGTGCCGGTTTCTTTGTTTCCTCGCTGTTTCTCACACTTTTTAAATTTTCTTTTCTTTAATTTAAAGCCACAATCAAGGGAACAAGATCGTTAGAATGCCATCAGTGTAATGCCACCTTGTTAGCATTCAATTGTCTGAGAAATTCCAGTATTGAGAGCTGCTCACAAGGTAGCGAGTCAGTTTGCATGAGCATTAATGCCTCGGTGACAGATTTAAAGGGAAACAAGTCAAATTTGTTCTTAAGGTATGATGCACTAGAACCAGCTACTCGCAACTTAATTTGCTACCTTTTCCCTTCAAGTAGCAATTTAGACCTTACTGCTGCAGAAGAAGAACCTCCAGGATTCTCATCTCCCAACCACAAGTGATCAGTGAGGGAGTGGAGTGGTTACCTAATACTGAGCGCGCTAAAACTCAAGATTAAACATCCGGGTTCGATCTTATCTGCGAAACTGGCGGTGTTTTGGGCACTTAATGAAAACAAAGAGGAAGGAACCACGAAAAAGAGCAACTTCCTTCCCCGGCCCCTCCCGTAAATTTGCCACTTATTTTGGTACCCTCGCCGCTCTAAAAACTAAAATCATTACTTGGACAGAGTAGAAAGAAACAGTTCGTGAGCAGGACGCTTTACCCTAACACTGTCTCTCTTCACCACTGGGTAATCGAAAACATTTTGGGGAATCCTGATCATATGTTACAACAGAATAGCCTACCATTGATTGGCATTTCTTCCAGAGGCCAGCATGGCAATATTTCTAGTCGCTTCATTCTTCAGAAACTGGGATAAGCTCATGTACATAACATTTTCAAAACCCTTCATCTCCAAACATAATGCAGCGTAATTGTTTTCCATCTTTAGGCAATGTTCGTCGAAAAGAGAATGTTACTCGCTCCAGCCCTGCAGAGATATCAAAACTCACCTGTGGAGAGAGAGGTCCGGGCTACTTGTAGAGCCCAGCTGCCGCCCGGAATGCTGTGCCACTGATCGTTGCAACCATCGTGTAGGAACACTAGATTTGAATAAATCAAGCACCCGTAAAATTATACCGACATCATCTGGACGGAAAACTTCAAAAAAGTGCTTCGAATTCGAGCCAAAAACTAATATACAACTAGAAATCGGAAGCACTAATAGTGGTCGACTAATGAGGAAACATAAAATTTTCGTATTGCTATCAATATTTCTCTTGCTAACTTCACTGCCTTTTTAAAAACAGTATTCAAAAATGAACTGCCGGTGCAAAGCCGGAATATATATTTTCGATGTTTGCACACACTTACTTTTTTCAAATTGTCCACACAACGTGTGTTCACAAAAATTTTGGAACTGAACATAAATCTGAGATCATCCTCCAATTTGAAGTCATCGAAGTCTTGCAAAACATATTTACTGTTCGACGACTCTTTAAAGAAGGTATACACTATTTGATGCAGAGTAAATCAAATTTACTCGTTGATATATATAATATATGAATGGTTGTTACTGTTCAGGTACGTTAAACAGGGGTCATTTGATGTAAGTTCCATGAAAGTGACATGGCTTCACAAGATTGCAATTTAAAATTTTTAAGCAGAAATAAAGATTGAAAGATCACTGTCTGTGCATATCAAGTATATTGCTATTTACTTATAAATAAGAACCAACTTGGTCTTTATTGGAAGATCATATATCGAATGGACTAGCTCTAAACCTAAAAGTTGAGCAAAGTCAAGGTTTGATTATGTAGAAGGAATTTTGAAAGTGGCCTGGTCTCTCATGATTGGCTCATTGTACATGCGACGCATATTTCATTCGAAGTATTCTGGAGAGCAACATGGCAACATGGAATGTAGCAAAGAGGAAACATTTTTCAATGGTGACGTCATCAACGCCTCTGTCTTCAATAGATCATAGATAGGAACCAATCAGATTGAATGTGTAATTACACTTCAATAACTTTTCGTTGACAATTGCTCTTGAACAAGGAGTCCTCAATAATATTTTTTTCGTATGTGACATGAGTGATCATTCTGACTGCAACTCAACATTTTTTGATTAATCTGCTTAATTTGAGCTTTTTTTTAATTTAAATAACCTTCTGAAACAGAATTCATTTGACTCAATGTTATCCGGAAATTTAGAGCTTTTTAGTGCTGCGAGTTATTATTGAAAAAAGCAATTAATTTAACTCTCCAAGTTAAAGATGAAACGCGTCGGTGGGTAACTCGTGTTGTTATTAATTTGTTTGTGTGTTTCCAGTATTTCACAGGGGTCTTTAAGGACATAAGCTAAATCAGCACCCGCTGACAATAAAATAAGTGGTGCATTACCAATTCAATTTCTAAACACTGAGATTTTCTTCATCCTACAGTGTAAATCTTTAGGCTTTTCTCGGCTGTGAGAAATTAATTTCTTGTTAAAACAAAATAGCTGGTAAACTAATTTTGAGAACAGTGGGAAATGGATGAGAGCTTCGCCCGTTGTGAAATGTGCTAAATTGCAGTTTACCCACAAGAAAACCGAGACTGCGATACCTAGGTAAACTTCTCACTGAGGTTCCCTAAAATCAACTCTCAGTTCTCAGCCGTGGAAGACCTACAAAATGAAAAATTTGCTTATTGCAATCTTGCTTTTCCTCACCAATCGTTCAGGTAAGTCGCTTCGATATAAAGACATCTTTGCCATGAAACAAGTCATTTTGTTCTATTCGACTATTTGTGCTGGTCTTTTGTTGGCAATCGAGCCGGTACCTTTTTCGGTTAAATACATCGGTTTTAGCATAGTATACATACTGAAAAAAAGCACGTCGTTATTTGGTGCTTTTTCACTTTCAGAAATGAACTCAAAAACATCAAATGCAACCAACATATCATCAGCACCTTTTTGTATTAATCAGCTACCATTATTTTCACCTCCTGCATTGAAACATTTATTTTTCTGAAAATAATAACATAACAGACTCCTTCTCATCTAAGAACGTGTTTATAGATCTTATCAGGAGCAACCAAGTAACCATTATATACAATATTGTCGAAGCTAGTGCGTGGGAATTAAATCATCGAAACGTGCATGAAACTAGAGGTTTTACCTTTTAAAAAGAATTCATGAAATGAAACATGAAGACAAAGATCATTCCAGGAAAATAAGCATCAAAAATTTAAATCATCACAACAAATGAAAGTGAGCGATTGGAGAACAGGGCACCCTTAAATGTAAAGAAAAAGTTTGACAACATATTGTTTTATCTCTTTTAGCTTCAGCTCTTTCCTGCTACACGTGCACCACAGATAGCAAATATAACGACTGCATCAAAAATCACGTGCTCAAGCAGTGTGCAACTGATGTGGGATTTGACCATTGCTTTACTATGAAGATATTTGTGAAACAAAACAGCGGGGAAGAAGTCGCCTATTTAGATAAGCAATGTGGTGTTTCTTTTGCCTGCAATAACCCCGACCCAAACTACTTTTGCAACGCAAAGAATCAATCTTTTATCGGTCAAGGACACGTCATGGCCAACTGCTCTTCAAGGTGCTGTAATACTGACTTGTGTAACAACGATGACTTGCCCATCAACCCCACCACTCTACCCCCTATTGGAAATTCCACGTCAATAAACGCAACTACATCCACTCCCCTGCCTCAAAATTCTACTACCAATACTCCCCTGGGCTGTGGCACAGATTCCGTTAACACACCACTACGCATGACCATTATCCTCGCTGCAGTGATTCAGCTGGTTTTCAAAATGATGATGTAGGAGCGCGGTTGGATTCCTATGTGAAGTCAGTGATTTCTTATCCATCACCGAAAAACTGTTTTGATCTAGTGAAGAGTCATCTCATAGGAGCTTGTTTGTTGTAATAAATGTATGTATGTTATGCAAGAGCCAGCTTTTCCATATCTCTGTTTAATCGCATGTTCTAAGTAGAACCCTTTAACTCTGAATTGGCATACTTATGTAACCATTATTTATCCAAAGGCATTTATCAATAAGCCTTTTATAGTCAGCCAGCCATTGATTATTAACAGTCAAAAAACACAGGTTGTTCGGCTTGTTCTCACGTAGGTTGTAAGGGAACAGATTGACGAAAACGAAACAATTTCATCGAAAATTTCTGGTAACATTTCTACCAAGTTATTGAGTAACTTTTAGTAAATCAGCTCGCTAATTGTTTTCATTTGGCTTCAGGAAACCTGTATTTAATGATGTAGCAATAAAGTATCTTGTCTTCAGCTTTCAGTTCTCATTACCATTATTTTATGTTATTTTCTTTATTCGTTGTATTTTTCGCTTTTCATCCCGACTTTTGATTTCAAACACTTTTCAAACAAGAACAAGAAAAAAAAACCTCTCAATAGAACGCGTTTCTATTTCATTAAGGAAAAAAGCATCATGCAGCAATTACAAAAATCACGCACGTTTCTTAGAAATTGTGTTTGTCACGGCTAACAACTCGCTGTGGATGGACCTCTTTCGTTTTATAAGTTTAAACTGAGTGAATCGCAAAACTACGAGTTCAGAGTGACTTGATTAAGCATCAGCGTCTTTCTTTCCACAAAAATTGTGAGGATGATTTTTATAGCTGTAGCTTTTATACCCTCACCAGGTATTCAGGGTGCGAGGAAGTTTACTGTAGTGTGTCTTTTGCGATGTCTGCGGGAACGGTTAAATCTACCGGTAATACAAAAGATTGGAAAGTGGGAGAATATCGACTTCTTCTCTTAGTGAGAGCTTAATGTTAGCGATGGTTAGAGTTGTCTTTGAACGCCTCAGTTACTCCATCCAAGATCCCTACAAATTTTAGTTCACTCGCTCATTTTTTCAACTGCATCACGAGCTAGTGCATGGACAACCAACTAAGTTAGCCTTTAGTAAAGGAGCCCCTGGTACTGATGAAGGTATCTCGAAACAATCGCTGTTAGATTAAAACTCTACAAATTGCAGTTGAGAACAAATTTCATAAATGATAACATCAAACTCAGACTGCGAAACATATATCATTCACCCGAGGAAATTCGAAGATACCATACTCCGAGAGTCTCAATGCATATAGAGTTAACCGCTAGCCGTAAAACGGCCAAAAGATTTAGCCGTTAGGCGTAAAAATTGACAAATTTTGACGGTAAGTCGTAAAAAGAAAATTAACTGTCAAGCGTATTTCTTTTAATGAAAAACGAAACAAGTTAACTGTGAGCCGTAAAATAGCCAAAATTTTAACCGTTAGCCGTAAAAGCCATCACCTCGTCGAGACCCGCTACTTCATTCTTGACTCCGTCCGAGCTTTCACTGTATCATCAATCAAACAATCAACCAGCTTGTCTTCAAACTGACCAGCTGGACGAGAGCCGTTAGTTTTCCTTTGTTATTCCTTCAACTGACTGCCTGGCATTTTTAACTCTTAGGTTATTTCGGGTAGCCAGCGCCCCTATCATTGTCTGTACTATTATTATAAATTTTTCTTTCTTGTATATTTTGGGGTGAAAAATAAAGTTGTTGTTGTTGTTGTTCTTATCGTCGAAATAAAAGCTCACTTCTGTCCCTTTTAAAAATATTAAAACTCCTTATCAGTGTATCATTTGCATGAAGCGCTTCAGACTTGATGGCATACCGCAATACAGATAGTCGACAGGCTCACTTATTGTTCTCTTGCTTCTCCGGTCGAATGATGTCACTATTTCGTAGTCTTTGTCGTGGAGTCTGGCCGAAAATGCTGAGGATAGCCTTGGGAGCACTCTTTGTTTTATATTCAACTCCATTTGGTGAGTGTTCTCTTCTGGTTGAATGTTTTTGTGTCCTAAATTGTTGCGAAATATAAATTGTACAGTGCGATGTTATGATTTATAACAATGACTGCGGAGTGAATCGTTTGACATTCAAATTTAGTCCGATTTTCCGAGCAAACTTCGGTGATTTTAAGTCTGGTTGATAAATTTCACAACGCTTGTCGAAATTTCGATCGATGACAAGTTTTAATCGAAGTGACTTAGTGCCCAGTTAGAATTATTATTTGGTATTGCGGGTGATGATGTTTACGTTGAATGTTGAACTCTTTGTCACAACCTATTTTTCAACTGCTCGAAATTAAAAACATCTTTGAGTTAAAAACAACATGACCGTAAAACGATGGATCTTTCGGCATCACACTGCGGTTGATTTTCGCTATTTCTGACAAAAAATTGGTGTAAAATTTTATCCGCAATGAGATATTGTTGCGCCTTCGTCACCATGAATTTTAATAAAAGAAATATTAACTAGTATTGCAGCGCTATATAGGTTGTGTGATATTTTACCACTTTGAAAAATTTCCTGAAAGGAAACTGGTATACCTAGACGTATTTACGTTTTTTCTTGGAATCTTTATTAAGATTTTGACTCTTTTTCGCTGAGAAGAGATTAAAACATCAGTTGGCAAAAAAATCTCTTCGTACACAAGAAGTTTACGACAATTAACATTTTTATTCGTTTGGTTCAAATCCACATGCAAACAGTGCATTAATTAGCAGTGTTTTTAAAGTGTTGGGTCACTAAAGACAATAATTTTTCTGAATAGGCCTAGGAATCGAGAGAAAATTTCTTGAATACTTGGATACTCGGTGATGTGATTAACTTTTTCTGTAAGATAACCAATCTACTATAAAATTTGTCAAACCTAGTGTTCGACCGTGTTTGCTTAAGGCATATTTTGTCACGTTCATGGCGGTTTTGAGCCCTAGAGACAAGTCAGACAATTGATGTGACCCAGAAAAACAAAGCAGAAACCGAAAGTCGTCCAAACAAATAAAGAAATTGAAGATTTTGCGTTTCGTTGAACACACAATGAGAAAGTTACACAGAAAAAGCTAATGCTACCCCTGTTTAGTGGTGTTGAAAGCAAGGAACTTTCCGTTATATTTCATTGAAATCCCGAAAATTTGCAGTTTGAAACCCTCACACGCGGTTAACCACTTATAGTTTCTTATAGGAAGGAAGCCAACACTCCGCCCTGAATATGATTTTGTCACTATCGTTTGACACGTCCTTATGACAAGGCTATAAATATTTAAAAGAGAAATCATAAAGTGACCGGCCTGTTTTGTCTCGTAATTCACTTGACGATATTAAATACATAAATTGAAACTGTATCAGTTCTGGCTCTTTCAATATTTTCGGACTTTTTCCATCAAATGAATGAAGGGTAAGTTTCCTAAAAAGTTTCAGTCGTTAGAGGGTATTAGAAGAAATTTTGTCTTATCAACTGAGTTGATAAAGTAAATTGGCCACCTTTAAAAGTCACTTCTTCGTCAGAGCGGTGGCCACTCAGTTGATATAACCAATCAAATTGTCTTTCTTTCCATCAGCCATGTCCACCGAGTGCTATGAATGTACTTCTCTTGTATCCATGGAGGATTGTGTTCAATTCATGAAGAAGACCGAATGTCCAAAGCCAACAGATCGCTGCCGTAACATGACTGTTCAAGTTTTCGTCACAATGCTCGGAGAAAATCAGACAGGTTTTCAGAGGGGCTGCGCATCTCAAGATGAGTGTGTGTTCGAGCTATGTTCGGGCCATTTTGCGGAACACTACGGCGAGAAATCACTCGCTTACAACGTTTGTCAGATGAGTTGTTGTGAGGGGGATTTCTGCCCCGAGGGAAACATTACCATCACTGAGGGAAATGAAGGTCCTGTGAAAGGAGCGCGCGGCGGGAAAGGTTTTGAAATTCTTGCGAGTGTTCCTGTCACGGTAACAAGTACTCTACTGAGCCTTGTCAGGGCCCGTTTGTTGTAAAGATTAAGTTTTCAGCGTAAAGTAGATGATAAGGCAAAGTTTTACCTCTGAATCAGCGCCACATCATGCATTGAAAAATCTGCTTTGATGTAATTAACGGGGCAACATTTTCAGTTTTTAAATTTATGTTCGATTACTTTTTCAATAAATCGACTAGTAATTAAGAAAGAAAAAGGTTTCTACTGCTGGAAAATTACAAACCTATTAAAAGTTTCTTAGAATTGAAAAAGACTTAGCAAGTTCCCTTTACTTTTTATCTGCATGGGTAGAATTTGATATAAGAATTGGAGTTAGTAAATACTTCATGTTATCAGTTAAATGTTTGTGTCTCACTAAGACTATTTTGTCAAGCATTTTTAAAGATGGGATCTATTTTTCCATTCGTTAACCTGAGTTCAGCGGCCGTTAATCATAGTTAATTAACACGACGAACAAAACTACGCCTCTTAACGAATTTTTCCACACCACACCCTTTCTAAGGAACGTGGCGAAAGCGCAGGAATTTTTTAACCTGGCGAATTTTTCTGCGCGAAAAAGGAAAATAAATTTTCTGATTGCATTCGAAAAAGAGGCGGTTTTTTTCCACAGTGGTAAAATGAAATAGAGAAAAATGCAGAAACGTCTCATCCTCAGTTAAAGTAATTGTGGTTTTGCTCTCCAAAGCAGCCGGTAATCTTTGACGTGATATTAATTTTTTCGTTAGCTACTTCTCCCATCAGCCAGTGCTTTGGTTTTGAGACCATTGGGGACTACTTATATACTAGCATTTGAACATTTTGATAAATATAAGATGTTTGTACTTTTTCACTTAAACTGCGATGATAAACTTACCATATAGCTGACCCAATAGTTGACCAATGTATCTTCTTTTTTTTTACGTTTTTTACATAATAAAGTATACAATAAAAAGATATGCAGTAAAGTTATCAGATTGTGCGGAGTTCTTCTGGCATTCCCAGGGAGGAGAGGGGAAGGGGAGATATTCGTGAAGAAAAAGGAAGGAGGGAGGACACAAAATGACCCTGTTACTTCAAGGTCACGTGTTTGGCCTAAGGGTGAATGTTCACGGTCTCTCTAACCCTTGAGCGGTATTTATTCCGCTGTTGAATAGAAAATAACTGGAACCAAGAACAATGGCCTTAATTTTTCTTTTAATATCAAGCAGCTACAACAGTTCTCCTCAAAACATTTTATTTTAATAAAGAATCAAGTTGCAGCTTGTGTTGCACAAATCTAGCTTAGATGTCAAAATACATCATACTTGTGAAATTTATCGGCTACGTAGTGAATGATCGTCCCACTCTTGATCACCTGTGATGTAGATCGATACGCAGTCGAAACACCACAATCTACATCAGAAACGACCAGATACTGAGACAAAAAATGATTCTTTTTATTCTACTTCACGGCGATGCTCGGCCAAAGTCTTTAAAAAAAATATCTACATATACACATATGTGAAATGATTAACATGATGAACGTTTTTCTGCAAAACAAGATACATTCTGATCAAACTGACATTTGCAAGCCATATCAGAGAGGCACTACAGCTAATACTCATTCATACAACTAAAAGGAAAATGTTTCTTAGATAAATCAATATTAAAAAACTCCGTTTCCATTACAGCACAAGTCTTTACAGCGGCAGAACCAGCAGATGCTATACGAAGTGAAAATAATCTTATCTAAAGGGGGTAAGATTCTAAAGAAACTGTGGAGCTGCGTGGTCGGTAGGAGAGTATAACAGGGTAATTTAGTATTATTAACTTAAATTGGCCTCTGTAAAGAGTTTCAAAGCTGATATTTCGGGCGTTTGCCCTTCCTCAAAGCGAATGTTTGTTACTTAGATTTGCATTAACCGGTCGGCTATTGAAGAATTCTTAAAATTCTCTTCCTTCGTTGAGCGGATGTTTTTCGAGTTTTCTTTTCCGAAAAAAGCAATAACATCTGTTTTATTCTACTCACTTACAAGTTTAGGTCAATAAACAAGTATTTTGAAATTGACGAAAACACATATATAGGTCACTTCCCGACCTGATGTAAATAAAAGACATCTTACCAAGTCAAAGTACACATTATTGTAGGCATGTTTGCATTCATCAACAACAAGAAATGGAATTGATGTAAGAGTTGAAAATAACTTTGTGTTTGGTAACACATTCCAATAAATCTTATGATTTCCTGTTCGAGTATTCTCAGGCATGTATTCCCAAGGGAACATGTTGTATCTGCACGAAAAAGGTGTTTGTTTAGAGACACTTTATGCTACAGTTACTCTTTACCCTAAAACAAAATTGAATAAACGTCTCTGTTGTACATAAGAAAGTGAGGTAAAATTTGACTGTCAGTGAGGTGAGAATTGTTCAGCGATACTCCAATTTGCGTCGAGTATTTATAAAACAGGAAACGATTTGTTGATGGGTATAAAATGATACTTTACAGACGTGTTACAAAAGAATGTGCCAAGTCAAATCCTGACCCTCATATATATAAATAGTATATAGCTACAGAAGGTGTGACTAAACTAAGATTGTAATGATTCGGTATAAAGTTTCGCAAACTGAGACGCACTATACATAAACATGACTGCTTTTTTTATCCAGTGGTCGGGCCATCGATAACGTCAGGAACATTATTAACAGATAACGTATCTGTGAAGCGTGTTTGAAGAATCAAACCCAGTTCCTTTGGGCAGCACATCCCGAGCTTTCGTTTGGATTGTTTGTGGTGAAGCCAGAATTACTTCAGATATGGAGTGTCTCATGATAGTCAAGCGTTTAGTATACGTCAATAATTATTACTTCTGTTCATGATAATGTCCTCTTTCTCAAGAGGGAAATAAAGAGTTAGATCTTCCAGAGTAAGTGCCAGCTTTAGTATTTAAATATAACTACCACTGATGAAAACATGATATGAACGGCCTCTTAATTGCTTGCACTTGGCATACAAGTTACTTCGCGTTAAAAACTTTAAGCCTTAAGCCACGTAGCAAAAGCGAGAACCACGCCTTGTATCCACAAGGACACCGAGATTCTGGTTACACCACTACTTCTCTTTCCACTCTGGACCCCAAGAGCTGCCGCGTTACCCTTCACAGCCTCTCGCTGCTCATATGTATCAATTTCCGATTTATTCGGCATCGGGAATGAACAGGGTTTGTTTGTACAGCAACTTACTTCACATTTTTTAGCAGAGAGATCCTTTGGCCAGAAATTCGGGCATTCACTCCTTGCACACATTGCCAGTGTTCCACAGTGTAAACCGTGCACGGCGGACTCGACCATTTTGAGTTGTTTACCCATCATCTGTGGAATCTTGTAATAGGCAGTGTACTTGAGACAGGCCGGCAAAAGCGACGAGTTTGTGGTGCACTTTCTAACGAACAATTCATTATCCTTTCTGTCTTTACACTTGGTGAGACTATCTTTATCATATCCATGGCAACTGAAGCAGTACAAAGGGTCCGCACCGAACACTAAAATGTCACAAATAAAATCAATTTAGTATCGTTTTATTGACAAATGATCAAGCGTCCTTTCTGAACGAAAGACATCTCTTCAAATTTCTCTTACTAAGCAGTCAGTATGAGAAAAACACAAAGTGTGGAGAACCTTCCTGAGATCAGCAGCTGACTGATTGGTTTAACGCTCATGAGTGCTAATCAAATTAATTTAAAAAAAGCCTCGTCTTTTGAAAATACGAAGGGTTTTTAAAAAAAGCATGTCAGTGAAACTTTCTTTTGACAATACGAAGGGCTTTTAAAAAAAGCATGTTAGTGAAACTTTCTGGTAGAGTTTAAGACACACCAAGCCAGTAAAAGAGTGCTTTTATTAAATTTCAGTGACGAAGTTCAGCCAACATTTTCCGCACTTGTATTTCACAATACTTACTGCTAAAACAGCCCGGAAACTTAAGGTTGTGAGATATAAGAATGCTGAAAATCATTTAGTTTTCTTAAGAGTAAGATATCACACATGAATCGTCTTTTGTCGCCTCCGGGTGAATTGTCATTAAAGTCCATTTCCGATCTACAAAAAACACTCTTATTTTCTTGGTTTTAAAAATGGCCTTTCGACCCGTTTAGATTACAAATGGTTAGCAAATGCTTTTGTTAAAAAGGTTCCTTCCACAGAAGCATACTAAGAACGGTAGTCGTTGAAGTTTTCAAGTAACATTTCACTTTCCTCTACTCAGACAATACCGCCTCATTTCTCTGGAACAACAGATAATGTGGTCAGCCAGTCAAAACAATTTAGTTGAATTTTGATCAATTTTTATTTTTCCTTTATCAGAAGAGAATCGAACGACGTCTCGCAATAAAGCTTAATTACATTGATTTGAAATCATTTGCAATCCTTCATATTACCTCGCTGATTTCTTCGGAAAATCGCTTTTCGCAATCTCTATGACAAAATACACTTGAAAGGCGTAATGCCTTAAAAAACAGCTTTGTTTCCTACGGATGAGGACACAAAGAAACAATTGTTCAATGTGAGTGAAATTTCCATACGTTTCATCAATGTAGGAGATCTCTTGGGGTTCCAACTGTCTGATATTGGTTTTGAATGTGAAAGAATAGTTAGAAACCCTGCCTGTTCTGAAAATACATCGTTGTTATCTGGATTGATCCAGAATCTATCTGACCAAATCGATCAACGCTAAAACCGTTATCAGTAATAGGCTTAGTGGAAAGTTGATATCTAATAAAATCAAGTGATGTTTTCGACAACGCGATCGCCTTTCTTATTTTGATGAGGAGTTTTAAAACGTTTTTTTCTCGTTCACAAATTGATTAATTGTACAGGTTACGTTGGTCGAGATTGTTATCTCTCCTTGCTGAACGGTGTTGATAGATCAACAACTATCGTGTTTATCAGTTTAGAATTTTGTTTTGAACTAATTCGAAAAGGAGTCTCGCGGCGAACAGTTGCGGAAAATGCAAATGAGCTTTCACAACAGCTCGCTTTCAACCGCCGTGTTCTCTCACAGACTTCAAGATTTCTTTCCCGATTTAAGCGTGACAAACCCACTGAAATATAAATTGAGTGCCTCAGAACTCAGTGCTAAAGTGAGGTCTGAAGCATAGCGTTCTCAAACATGATTAAAGTGTAGAGAACTAAAAGCAAGAGAAATAATTCCCTCCGACTAATTTCAATAACTGTCATTCTTTTGCTTTTTGGTGATTGTGTCGGAATAAATGAACGTCGAAGAAGCTACCGGTCGAAGCCATAGCTAACGATTTGCGACTTGTCTCCTCAACTCTCGAAAGTCACCTACTCATTAATTAAACACCTCATTCGTACTCGCAAAACGATGGCTGACTTCGGAATGAGGTTTAACGGCACTGCAAGCGGACAGAATGACAACATCTAACTGGAATACAGATGTGTCACTTAAAAGCCACTGTTCTTGATATAACAAGAAGTTGATCTCTTTAGTCAAGCCTGGCAAGAATTCCATATTAATTCGATCTGTACTAGAAAGTTCGGTTCCACGTCGCACGAGGTTCCAAGCAGTTTTATTTAAGCTCTAACAACAAGACGTTCCTAAATAATGCATCACAGTTATTGATGTTACAATCTACCATCTGTGTTTGTATTTCACAGCAAAAAAATTATAACCTGTGTCTTAATAACGGCTTGAAGCCGGTTCGATTGTTTCATTACTGGAATTTCAACCGCAGCCCTTCGTATCTTTCAGCTAATCACGAGTAAACCACTCCAGTCTCGATTACAAAATGCAAAACATTCAATTCTTTGTTCCTTACCTTCGCTAGAAATGCAAACTACTGCCAAAACGGTTGCAAAAGATACAGTTGCCGGGCATAATCCCATCTTGTACTGTTCAATTTCAATTCTATCGATCTCAGCAGTATATGAAAAGTTCCGTTGCTCGGTGTCAAATCCGTTGAACCTGCAAATGCATTTGTTTATTACCTATGTGACGTCACTTCTTTGTTTCCAAAGGTTCTCGATTCGTCCCCCGGGATCGTAATGAGTTTGTCTGATGAAACTGCGAACAATACACGTCTCATGAATACGCTTCATTTGCCAATACTGGACACTCATTTAGGTTTATTATGAGATCTATATCAAAACACTAAGCTTGAGAAAATGAAAAATATCTAAGGCTTTGAAAATTGCCTCTTAGTTTTAGCTAGTTTGGGGTTAAGGTTCAGCTTGAATGAAATGGAGCGTATAAAATTTCCCACGATCAGCTTGTGTCGTTAATAAGAAGGTTCGAGTCATCATTTATATAAATTGATTCTCGAACGTTATGGATAGCTATCAATTTTGAAGTCCTGCTGAGGTTGATTCCATTATGTGCTCGAAAAGTAATACCTTTGCAGTAATGTCAGCGATGTTACGAAATCTTCGACCAAATTCTTCGAACTACCACCGCCTTTGTCATTCGTGTTAAGAAAAGGTTGGCAAACTGTTTGATTTGCAAAATGTTCAAATTCTTCTAAGTTCGACCGCCATTGTTGATGGTGTTAAAAAAAAAATGATGGTGAAAAAAAAGATGATGATGCTGGCACGTATTAAAGCATCAACATAAACAGGAAAGTCGGAACGTTCTATCCAGCTTGTTTTAGTGTACAGTCTAAGCTATCTAAGATATGCACCAGCGACTCTGGGCTAAATTGATCAAAACGTTTGCCACAGCAGACTGTAAGCGGCTGTAAGCCGCACGATTCAAGTGGTATTACGAAATCTTAAAATTCGTCTAGGTTTTCGTCGCCATTAATTGATGATGGTCTTGAAAAAGTATGGTTGACTCTTCGATTAGCTTGAATGTAGTGGTTTGTCTGCCTTAATTTCACTTTTTTCTATGCGAAATACCCTGTGTTACGGCACACAGGGTAAGTTAATATCGCATGCAACTGCAGCACATGATTAAACTTATCAAGAAGTTTGGATTGTAGGCTACTAATTAGTGTATTCAATTATGAGCGATGTTACGAAACTTCCAAATTTTTCCCAACGCGACGCTTTTGTTGTTGGTGCTAAAGAAAAAATAAAAGGTAGGCGAGCTCTGATTTTCAAAAGCTTTAGAATCGTCTAAAAGGCGCAAATGCAGCTCACACACCCCAGGAAAAAAAATACAGAAAATATTCGGTCCTCAACATCACAATAATCGTTAACACAAAATAGAGCTCCTACGGAACTGATAACATCGGCCATGTAGTTCATGGGAAAGAAACAAGGATTTCCGTGAGACTGCTTGAACCTCAAGACACGTGTCCGTTCTGAAACATGTGTGAGAACGAACCCTCTGAATTTTTCGGATCGTATGTACAATTATTACTTTAGTACAGTGTCACGGAAGCTTTTGTTGAGAACTGAATATTTACTTCTCCCGTTTCTTATTCCAACGATATCGATCATCGTTTATTTTTAATTTTTGCTTACAAAGCAAAATAGATATCGTTTTATTCGTTCTAACACTTGGCTGAAGAAGGTTTTGAGAAAAAATGGTTTACTCTTTAAGAAAAAATTTGATGATTTCTAGCTTGCAGGCGTTGTTATGAAAAAACAAAACGTTAGGAAGGCGTATCAACTAAGCTTGGAAGCAGAGCTTTCCTTTTTATGGAATATAGGGCTGTCTCGCTTGAAATGACTGGCAACAAAAGGTTGAAAATCTCAGGTGTTAAAATGATCTCAGGTGTCAAAATGACAGCTGAGATTTGGTAATGAAAGAAAACAGAATTTATCTTCCATTTTTTCAAGTGGAAATAAACTCAAGTGCCTTAGGGGTGGTTCACTTTTGGTGCCATCATTATAAAATCAATTATCAGCAAATGTCAGAGCGCACAGTCTTTCACACTCTCTTATCAATTTTCTGTCGAATAAATCAGAATCTTATTTGAAATATTGCGAAAAAAAGTTATCATTATTGTTTGTTATTTCACGAATGGAATAATTGGAACTTGTTTTGCTACTCAACTATTGGCATCTGTAATTAGTTTTTAAGATTAATGACAAGTTCTATGTTCTTTTGTCTCACTGAGTGCCACCCTAGTGCACTGTTTTCGAGTATTCTGACTTAACATGCAAATTAGTTCAATCTTAATTGTACCGCGTAGTCGAGTGGCTCTCACTACTTATCTGTTTGTTATCCACATTATTTCTAAATAACAACAAAATTACCGTAATAGTTATCTAAAACTACTACTTTAACTTTTAGCGAGTTTTCATAAATGTATCAAAAAAAGAAACATCCAGAATTATCGCTGACGCGTGCCGTGCTGAATTTAACTTAAAAAAACATTGGTCAAGGTTGACGCTTACGACAAACGGGAGAAAAAAAAGTTTATTTCTTTCTCAGAAGCGAAAAAATTTGCCGTTAAAGTGCTTGGAAATTCAATGCTATATTTCTACGAGATTAATGTGTGGACTATAGGAAAATAGCTCAAATCAGGTTCATTTTTTATCGAACATAACAAGTTTAGTTTCAGCCTAGTGGTTACCGTTTGTCTCTTGCAACTCAATTATAAATTGTGACGGCACGGTTTGTAATCGATACTCAGAACCGGCCGGCCAGCGAAAACGACGACCAGTCTGTAATACCTCATCATGAACTAACGACAGCCTCCTGGCTACTTGTGGCCAATTATTGCGCCCTAAAATCCAGTATACGACCGAAGAAAGAAATTTACCACGTTACAAGCGTGCGACGTTTTGAACCTCAGCCAGTTTAGATTTCGAAGGCGGATGCCCTGTCAACTGACTGAGCTGCAAGGATCTCATTAGTGAGTTACGCCATCAAAGTAAACGAAAACTGATTAAGCTGGTATTCTTTACTCGATACGCAATATCTACCGTGCCACTTTACTTCGATATTGAAAGTAAACTATCAAATAATGAATACCTTGGGTAGAAATCTGCAGCACTGCTAAAACAGCCACAAAAAGTATAGATTCCATTCTGTATAACCTTTGAATTTCTCCTCGTCGATGCGCAAGACGTCTTATGCGTTGTGATATGCTGTACTGAGGTTTCACCCATTTGTCACCAAATTGACGTCATCGATTCAAAATTGGTCAGAACCCACCTATGATACAACAGTCCCAGCTAGTTCCCAAGCGTTTCTTTCAGTTCATTCACGCTCGATCAGTGTGATCGATACACTGTGTCAGATAGCACTATGTCAGTTCAGCAAAGAACTCATGTGGGTGACATTGATTGATGTTTCGAAGCCATTATTATCAGAGTCAAGTTTAAGGGTTGAGTCTACTTTGATGACGCAGGATTATTGCTGAAGGTTGTCGAAACTCAAGTCACTGTTACTAACAACAGTTATTCAAACAACCTCACCTGGACGATTTCAATACACGATCGACTATTCCGCTCAGTTTTAAACCATTTAAATTATCTTGTTAATTTTGTCGTGAATTCTTGACATCATCAGACCTTGTACATTTATCGTTAAGGGTCTGTTTACCCCAAATTAATTGCCAGAGTTTGAAATGTAAAAAATTACACTATTGGTTAGTTACGAGATCACTTGAAGGTTATCGCGTTGAACTTCGACCGGAGTAGTTATGCATCGATACCTTCACATTGTTTACTATAAAAAAGTCCCTCTATAACAAGACGACAACGACAAAAGCGAAACAGAATTTTTCGCCAGATGTATTCTCTGCCTGATAAACACAGAACGTTTAATACATAGCTAAACATGCAAAGGCAGCGTCCATTGTTTAAACCTTTTCAAAGTCTTAAAACTTTGGTTGGGGCCGTTAGAACCATAAAACGGTGTTGCTTCAAGAACATCCGGAAGAGATTGAAATTTACGTTTATTGAAAATTCCAATTTTGTTGGAATCATTTGATCAATAAATTAGAGATTCCTAGAGAAAAGAATACTAATATACAACCGGAATAGAAACATTCCTATGTACAAAAAGATACCTTTTGACTAGTTTTACAAAAATAAGCAATTACATGTTTGACTACATGTAACTACTGATCTTTTCTACTTTTTTCTCTTCTCTTTGAGTGTACATCGCCATTTTTTTGCAAAAGCTAACCTACCGTCTGTATCAAAGCGAATCACACAATTTTTGGGCATGTACACGCTCGTGCGTGGGCACCTAATTTCCACTCACGGGGTGGAAGTGCAAACTTCTTTGTACAAAGAAGGAAGGAAATGTCACTTAAGCTGTTAGCCAACTAACAGGTATTTGATTAATTAGTCTCATTACTACTAACGAGCTGAGTGCAAACGCCCGGTTCTGTCAACATTTGTATCCGGAAATGACTACGCTCCATTCCATAAGTGGATCACGCCTGAGTAAAGACTCTATTGTTAAGATTTTTGCATACGTTTCGCTCGAACATCAATCCGCGGCTTAGAAGGTAAACCTGCTGAGGCCTGTAACCTTTTTTCACGAGGCAAAACATGAGTTATTCTACTTTTCGCAGATGGTGGCCTGATGGGTGAGATTGTGTCATCCTTGGCCTCTGAGGTACGACTTGGATTGCTTTTGCTGTCTTTTGAGCCACTGGATTCTCGTCTTGAAATGTGAATTACTGTAGGAAGTTCACTGTACTGATCTGACTCGTAAGACTTCGTAGAGAACGCAGGTGAAGCTGCAGTCCTCCTGTACGTTGGAGAGGGTTTATGCTTGAGTACACGCTCGTGAAGTGCATTTACCATCTGTCTTTCTTTCTCATCTGAAGGTACTGAAACATCGTCCTCTGAATTAATGTCTGCAGCACGTTTAAGAGCTGGAATAGCCACATTATCGGCCTTCATGGCTCGAATATCTGTCTTGTTAGAGGAAAAATTTTCATATTCCCTCTCCGGAGCCAAGTGTTTCTTTCCCAGCAAGTCGTCTATTGGTGGTAACCTTCCTAATATGGGAGTAAATGCTCTGTCTTTTGTTGTGATTGGCTGAGCTGT